CCCAGCCCCAGCCGGCAGAAATCCAGCAGATCCGCCATGCCAGGCCCAGCTGGAGACCTGCTCCTCCTGCTGATATCTACAGTCATAAAATGGGAAGAAGGCTGCCGCCATTGCCGAGGCCGGCCCAGCTCCCTTCCTCAGGCTCTCCTTACCCGCCGCGGTCCCGGTCGCGGCCTCGGTCTCCGAAGCCTCGCATCCTGACAGGCCGAAAGGGCTTCCCGGCGCTGGACCCGGAGAGCCGACGTTCAGGGGGCCCGGCCGAACCTCTTGTGGCTTTTCTGGCTGCAGAAAGATATCTGTTGGCGCAGCCTTAGTAGCTGTGTTTCCCCTTGCTTAGAAAGCCGGCTGGGCTCAAAGTCCCAAAACCTTCGACAGGCCAAACCGAGTCAGGAGTTGCTGAGGGAGGGAAAGCCAGTCAGCCTTTTTCCTCCGGCCTCCTGACACAAAATGGCCGCCGTTGCTCTAGCTGGCCTCTTCTTACGTTATCAGTCTGCCGGATTGTTGCGTAAGAGTGTCCCTGAATAGCCGGCGAGGGCGGGGAGACAGAATTTTCCCTCCACGTATCCGCGAAAGAAAAAGAACTCAGCGACGCTCCCAAGGGTGGATTCAAAAAAGGACGAGGCGTGCGGAAAATGCGTAGCTGCAGATCTGATGAGTTGGTTCTTTCTGCGAAGACCTACACTTTTCTGCAAATTCTCACAAGTCGTCTGTGTTGCGAACCGAACCGTAAGGAAACCCCAACCCGGGCGGGGGGGAAGGGGGAAGAATTTGTTTTTCACGCAATTTCCGTAGGGGCCGCCAGTTCCGTAGCGGGCGCCCATTCTGCGGAGAAACTGCTATCAAATAGCAGAACTGCCTGGACTGTGTAGCGTATAGGGTTTAGAGAATAAGGACTGTATTGAACGGAGTCGGCGCTGGGGTCGTGAAACAATGAGCCGGTTCTCCCATGCAATTAAGTGTACAGTATAGTACTTGTTCAGATTTTGGTTGAGGCTCAAAATGCAGAGATTGCACCGAAATTTTATCTTCACGCCCCTTCTATATAGTAACAGATTGGGCTTGGGTATCTGCGCATGTTGTTTGTGAAAGCAGTCGGGAAAGAGAGCGACAACGTTTGACGCTGAAAACTGCAGCCATAATAATCCCCTTCTCCAAAAACCTGAGGACGTTACCGAGGATGCTCATAATCAGGGACGACTGGCGATTTGGCCGCCACGTGGCAAAGGGTCCAGATAATGCTATTGAAGTAGCCCGCTTCTGGTCAAAAACAGTCTAACATTTTAATTTGTTTTTAGTTTTACCTATATACAGCCGTATTTTTATCTTGTGCAATGCTCTGATATGAATAAAGAAAGGCAACCAAAGTAACATGTTCTACCAGTAGAATGTTTTGTTGTGTAGTACAGTATTCTTTGTGGCACCCCCAGTGCTCACTGGAAGGACAGATCCCGAAGCTGAGGCTCCAGTCCTTTGGCCATCTCATGGGAAGAGAAGACTCCCTGGAAAAGACACTGATATCGGTGTGAAAGCAACGGGAGAAGGGGATGGCAGAGGACGAGATGGCTGGGCAGTGTCATCTAAGCTACCAACATGCATTTTTGACCCAACTCCGGCAGGCAGTGGAAGAGAAGAGGACATGGCGTGCTCTGGCCCATGGGGTCATGAAGAGTCGGACCTGACTAAAAAACAACAACAAAAAATTCTTTGTGGCATAACAAAAATACTGTAACCAAAAGATCTTGAAAGGGGGTTTCTCTCCACAAAGTGACATCAAGCAAAAGAAAATCCTTTAAGTGCCTTCATCAGTTTAATCATTTCTCACCCAAACACAAAACAATCGCCAGGGGTTTTGTTCCCAATAAGTGTGAACAATAGTGAAAGGAGATGGACACAAACTGCTGGGTCACTGGCTCAGCCTGGTTTGCTTACTGGCTTTAGAGGTGTCCTATGATTTGGTGCCCCACCCCCTCCAGTGGGCACCCATTCAGAGGCAACACCCGAGCTTCCCTGCCCTATTTCCGCTGGGCTCCACCTCTCAGTGGGCAGGGAGGTCGAAGCATGGAGCACCTATGGTTCCATTAAATGAACCCCACCAAACCTCCAGTTCGTGCCCATCTCTACTAGTGAGCACAAGAGGGTATACTGTAGATCAGTAGTCTTCAACTTTTTCCAAACCATGGACCAGTTGAGGGGGCGGGGTCTGTGCGTAGGGAGGCAGGGCCCCCCCCCGCACTTGCGGATGGGCTGAGCATGCATGCATGGATGGGCAGGGCAGGGTCAGGTGGGCAGGGTGTGTGGGCATACATAGATGGGTGGGGCATGCTTGTGTGCATGTGTGGGTGGCTGGAGTACCCCATGCATGCGGGTGGGCGGGCTGTGTGTCTGTATGATGGAGGGAGTGCAGGGTGGTGGTGAATAATCTGTCTCCATGGCCCACTCCTACCAAGGCCACGGACCGGGGGTTGGGGACCCCTGCTGTAGACCATATTGACTGCTGCCATTCATGTTCTCAACATTCAAACTGGTCTTTACAGTACTCTGTAATGCTCAGCATTCGTTTTCCTGCTAGCGATACAAGCACGAAAATATCAAGCCATTTCCTGGTATTTTGAATTGTGAATAGAGAAACCATGGACCAGTTGAGGGGGGTGGGGTCTGTGCGTAGGGAGGCAGGGCACCCCCCGCACTTGCAAATGGGCTGGGCATGCATGCATGGATGGGCAGGGCAGGGTCAGGTGGACAGGGTGTGTGCGCATGCACGGATGGGTGGGGCATGCTCGTGTGCATGTGTGGGTGGCTGGAGCACCCCATGCATGCGGGTGGGCGGGCTGTGTGTCTGTAGGATGGAGGGAGTGCAGGGTGGTGGTAAGTAATCTGTCTCCATGGCCCAGTCCTACCAAGGCCATGGATCGGGGGTTGGGGACCCCTGCTGTAGACCATATTGACTGCTGCCATTCATGTTCTCAACATTCAGACTGGTCTTTACTGTACTCTGTAATGCTCAGCATTCGTTTTCCCGCTAGCGATGCAAGCACGAAAATATCAAGCCATTTCCTGGTATTTTGAATTGTGAATAGAGAATGGGGGTATTCGTATTCGAATACAAATATCCCCGCGTAGCTGGACTTAACACGCGTCCAGTAGTAGTGGCAACCTGGCTCTTTCTTCCAATCGGTCCCGGAGCCCCGCTCGGCTAGCTGCTCCTCGCAGTGGAAGGGAGGACGAGTCTCTCTGCAAGGTTGCTGAGTCACTTGCAGGAAGAGTGGCTGGAAGGAAGAGCGAGGCCACTGCGACCGCCGGACGTGTGAGGGTCCAGCTGCACCAGGATATTCGTATACGAATGCCCCCATCTCTGGTTGTGAATACAGAAGCACAATATCCCACATTCATAAACTGGAGGATTTTTGAGCAACTTAACTTTCTGGCTTTTGCAAACAGACTTACATATATATACATTTCACACAAATGGCAACAGAAACTTCCTTCCTGTAGAATTGCCCAGAATATGAGCACATGATCTATACTGTGTTTGCTGGAAGAAGACAGAAGCAAGAACAGCTGGGATGTTGCTATGCTCCCTAAGTGCCAAAATATTTTGAAGGTCGTTTTGGACTTAATAAAATATGAAGCAAAGGTTTAAATGCAACATATACAATGGAGAAACATAACTCCATTTAACTTCTCAGGTGAACTAATGTTGCCATGCCATCTCTGCAGAATGCAGACTTAGAAGCTATGTTTCAATTTTGAAACCCTTTCCTTGGGACAGGCAACAGATAAAAGCTCTACAAACATATGTGCATGTTATCCAAAAGATAGTCCCTCAACTTTTTTTTTGGGGGGGGGGGACAGAACTGAGAGTTAGCAAGGATTGTCATTGGAAACCAAGGTCAGAATCATCCATACCATGTGAAAGAGAGGGAAAATATTCGCTAGCTCAGCAGGAAGAGAGCGGCTGGAAGGAAGAGCGAGGCCACCGCGACCGCCGGACGTGTGAGGGTCCAGCTGCACCAGGATATTCGTATACGAATGCCCCCATCTCTGATTGTGAATACAGAAGCACAATATCCCACATTCATAAACTGGAGGATTTTTGAGTAACTTAATTTTCTGGCTTTTGCAAACAGACATATATATATATACATTACACACAAATGCCAACAGAAACTTCCTGTAGAATTGCCCACAATATGAGCACATGATCTATATTGTGTTTGCTGGAAGAGGACAGAAGCAAGAGCAGCTGGGATGTTGCTATGCTCCCTCAGTGCCAAAATATTTTGGTCGTTTTGGACTTAATAAAATATGAAACAAAGGTTTAAATGCAACATATACAATGGAGAAACATAACTCCATTTAACTTCTCAGGTGAACTAATGTTGCCATGCCATCTCTGCAGAATGCAGACTTAGAAGCTATGTTTCAATTTTGAAACCCTTTCCTTGGGACAGGCAACAGATAAAAGCTCTACAAACATATGTGCATGTTATCCAAAAGATAGTCCCTCAACTTTTTTTTTGGGGGGGGGGGACAGAACTGAGAGTTAGCAAGGATTGTCATTGGAAACCAAGGTCAGAATCATCCATACCATGTGAAAGAGAGGGAAAATATCAACTTATTTGAAATGTGTTCAAGGAGAGCCTAAACAATATCATAGACAGCCCGGAAGGCAGAAATGTGGATGCTCAATTAAGTCAAGCCAGAACTCTTACTAGAGCAAAAATGTGTAAGCTGAGGCTGTCCTACAATGTACATCAGAGAATACAGAAGTAACCATAAAGGAAGCCATAGCTATTAGTATGCAACACCTGAGCAGAACTTACTGGAAAAGAGAACATTGCTGGGCAGGGGGGCAGCAGAAAAATAAAACAACCTAATGTGAGATGATGTCATTTTGCAAGATCCAAGCAGAGTTGTTAATGATAGGACATTTTTAAGGTCATTAACTCATATAGTCACCACAAATGAAGAGTGAATTGATGGCACATTACATCTTTGGAGTTCTTAATTACCACACAATGGCATAGTTACAAGATGAGACCTGAACAGAGATGGGCATGAACTGAACCAGAGGATAAATATTTCCGCCCCTGAAGCCTGGATTCCTTCCATATTTTTTAAGCAGGTGAAGCCAATAAAGATAAGCAAGATTGGTCTTCTCAGTTTTTTTTGAATTTGAAATCTGGGGGTGTTTAAGGTTGCTTCTGCATGGTGACAATTTTACTTTTTAAAAAAATGTCAAAAACACTTTGCCCAAACTTCCTCAAATTTGGCACACACAAAATGCAGGCTGTTTGCTACATGTGTGCAGAAATTGGTGCTGTTCTGAAGTCCAGTTTCAAAGTTACAATTTTTTTGTTTGGGCTCCCCCATTTTTAAAATTGCCTTGTAGAATGCTGATTTGCTCAGCCAGCATAATAACCTCACTGAACTCTTGTGCAATTATAAAAACCTTGAAAATCCTATTAGGGTTGCTATATGTTTAGGTGCACATAAGAAAAACATGCTTCCCAAAACAGGTGTTGAGGACTTTAGTAGAAGATTGCTACTGTGCTTCCCAAAGATTTTCCACCATATGCACAGAACGCTAGATGAGGAAGTCAGACCAGTATTGCTGTGGTGTTCTTAAGAGTTTATCTTTGCTTTAAAAAAAGCTGTAGTGCCCTTCATACCTGTTAGATTACTAATGATGGGAGCTGTAATCCCATACTTCTGGAAAGGACAAAATTGATGAAGATTGTACACCTCATGGTGTCCTACTTTAACACAAGATAACAAACTACAGTTAGTTTAAAATAGAATTTAATGCTTGTGACATTATAGCTGCACCAGAGAAAAAGGAGGGATCATGTAATAAGTACATGTACTGGTATGGAGGAAAGAGAAGTGGGCAAATTAAAAATAAGCAGATGGAAGGGGCATTGTAATTTAATACTTTATACAATTTAAAATCTGCCAACTGTTGCTATTTATGGCTATTTATGGATACCCATTTAATTTAAACAAACCTGTTAAGGCTCATTTAATTTTAAAAGCTTTGCAAACAGTTTCCATTCCTCCCACTCCATTTTCAGTTTCCCATACCAGCTGTGCTTTATCTGGATCTGTCTCCAATGATGTATACAGTGTGTGTTTTAAAATGATCAGTTAATATTAATTAATGGAATTAACATCCATACTGTTACATTATATCTTACATGCATAAATGGTAAAACTGCAGACACATAGGCAGCAAGCCCATGGGTTCCTGTGTAATTTTCACAAGTAAGACATAAATCAGAGAAAAATAACAAAGTGACAATCAAATCTGTGTACTCTTAAATAATTGTCTAAGGTATTTTCTGAACACTCATGACAACTGGTGCCTCTTCATCTCTTGAAAAGCCTATCTATGGGGAGTCAGTTTCTGCCTTGTTCAGAGTCTGTGTTGCCATGCAAAAAACAAAAACAAATGTTGCCTGTAGCAAGGCCATTAGATGACCGGCTTTCTATCTTGATGAAGCTATCATTTTCAGCAACTTCTAGAGAGTGCATTATTCCCAATAGTAATGTTAAGAAGGCGTAAATCTGAACAGTCTGAATTTGATACAATAAAAACACAAGTACTGTAATCAAGAACTGAGTAAATTTAGGTGTGGTTGAACTGGCTAGGTGCCTCAGTTCTTCACCACCAACATCTGTCTATTCTTTGGCATCTCCAATTCCTCCAGCAGTTATTGCAAATGTGGCTTCGTTTTCAGGCATTTCCGGGCTGGAAAAAAATTATGGAAATTGACTCAAGTTTCGCTATGGATATCAATATGACAAATAGAAAATGTGAAAAAAAGTCATGTGCATGCATTAAAAAGACAGTATAGAATTATTATCTTTGAGGTACACTTTGAATTTTTTTCCTCTTTTATTATGTCAGGGGACATGATAGAAGCAAACAACCCTCACAATATTATTGTTTCATTTTCTTATACTGTATACAGTATTTTACTTCCAATCTATACAGTCATCATTTGATCATCATATGCAAGTCTTGACTTCAACCCTACTTATAGTTTCAATCCACAGTGGCTGCTTACACATGGAAGGATGAGAGGGCTACAGAATTATTGAAAGCTACAGACACAATTGCAAGCATTTCCAGTATTTAAGTGCATTTCCGGTGGCACTTTTAGACTCAGATTTGGGTGCAGAAGGCTGGGTGGTTTCTAAAATTGTAAATTTACCTCCTCTGCACATTCACCCATTCCCTGGGTGATGTGCACTTCCCTCCCTCTTCTCCCCAGTGCAACTGCCCACTCGCTGTTTGCAGTGCACAGTTCCTTCTTCTGGCAGCCAACTGCTCAGATTAGGAGGCAGGCTGGAGAAGCCTGCTGCGCTGCCTTTGAGTGGACAGCTGTCAGAGGAGGCAGAGGAGGGAAGCGCATGCTGTGAATGGTGACTGGGCAGTCGTGCTGGGGAGACAGGGAGGGAAGCATGCATCACTCAGGGAATGGGAATGGGTGAGCGTGCAGAGGAGGCAAGAAAGGGGAGTACGCCACACCTGTGCAGACATGGAGCTGAAATGGGCTGAACCACTGAACTGAGGTTCGTGCCCATCTCTAATGCAGATAAATAAAGCTAAAAAATAGACAAGTTGGAATTGCCTGGAATTATTGCAACAAAGAAAATACTTATACAGTAGGATCCCCATATTCACTGGGGATCAGTTCCAATCTGAAAAACACAGATTATACAGCAGACACTATTTTAATAGCAAACACCATACATAGCAGCCTCTAGTGGCCAGTTCTGGTAATGACATTGTGGAAATACATGTCTCTAGCAAACACTGTACCATAGCATGGTCTTTGGCTCCCTATAGCAGGGGTCCACAGCCCAGTGCCGGTCTGTGGGCTTGCCAGAACTGGGCTGCAGAGATGGATTTCCGCCCCCACCCCGCACAGTGGGTGTGTCACCTCACGCAGGGGCATGTTGCGCTTGCGCAGGGGGGTGTCACGCTCAGGGGCGTGTCATGATTGCGCGATACCTCCATGAGCATTGGGGTGCCCCCATCCCCCACACACATGGAGCCCCCCAACCGGTCCGGAGTCCCAAAAAGGTTGGGGACCACTGCCCTATAGTGTCCAGTTCTTGAAATGGCATATTTAGAAATATATATATTTAGGATTTTTCTTTGTATATTTTTAATATTTTCTGACTTTGAATAAGTAAATCAGTGGATACTGACCCGCAGATACAGGGGTCGTATTGTACTTAAGATGGCCAGATGAATTCTGAAATGCTTATCAATGATTGTCTGGTTTCATTCTGGAATTATACTTTACTGGAATAATGTCAGCTATGACGAACCTGGAATACTTTTGTTAGTTATACACATGTAGAGGCTTCTATGATTTACCTTGTAGGTCTGCCTGTAAGTTGGTTTATAGTGGAAATGTACAGAATATCTCCCAGTGAGCTATGCACAGGCTGCAACTCCTCGACAAGAAAGGCTAGTTTTACACTTTCCCTGCTGTCCTTCCAGTGACAGGCCTTTGGCAATTAAGAGCCTCAAATGATAAGATTTTAGCTGTCTACAGTATTGGTTTTATTTTTTTTAAGGTAAAATGATAATCAGTATTTTAACGAATGTTTTATAGCTTATTTTTAAGTGTATTGCAGTAATAATTAAAATAATTCTATTTCAATATTTGTAATGTTTTTGTATCTTAATTTTATGCTGTTTGTTACATTACACATTTTAATTACAAAGTGACATATCTAATCTGTTTACTGTTTCTTAATTTTCCATACATCCCTTCTGAAACAGAGTTGTCTGGAAAAGAAATATACTACAATTTTGTTTCCTTTTAACCTGTCATATATCTTGGCAATGCGCAGCTCTCCTCTTCCCTTTCGTAAACTTATCCTTGTTGTAGAAGCATGAGCAAGGATGTGACCTCCAATGGGTTTTTTTGGATCTGCCTGAAAGCTTAATCAGCAAGCAAATAAAATGATTAGATAGGAATTGTTAGAATAATTACCCTGACACAACATCCATAAAACATACAAAACCCACACAATGTAAAGTTATATCAAACCACATATACTAGTTTCACTGGGACTTGAGTCTGCAGTCTATGTAAGGGATTCCAGCTAAGGGCAGAAAAATACTATAATAACTGTAATGATCTCACTCAGCGAAGCCAGTTAAAACCTATGGTGGGAAATCCATTAGTTTTGTGTCTTTTCTCTGTGCTTTCATTATCTTTTCCTCCTCTCTAGCAACACTTGCCTGGTATCATTTTTGCTCCTTAAACTGGCTGTCTGTTCTCAACTATTTTTATACCTTCATTTGTCCTTACTTGCCTGGTATCATTTTTGCTCCTTAAGCTGTCTGTTCTCAACTATTTTTATACCTTCATTTGTTGTTCACCAACAGTAAATTCTCATATATCTTTATATGTCATAATTACAGGACTGAGAATTATTTTCCCCCTGCATTTCCTTTAATTTTCTGTCTTAAATACACAAGGTTTCAAACCTTGACAGATAGATCATAGGGTGGTTCACATAAAGCCTTCTCTCCCAAGCATTGAGAGAGGCTGTTTGAAAGGCTTACTGATGTACCTTCATAGAACTCCTTCATGAGAGGAGGGGCCCTAATTGGTCAGAGTCCTTTTCACATTGAGGAGCTGTACTCAAGTACGTCAATATGCATTTCTGCACCATATGCTGAGGAGCTGTACTCAAGTACTGTACGTCAATATGCATTTCTGCACCATATGAATATACAGGTGGTGAGGAAGCGTTTCTGTCATGAGCAGCAGAAGCACAGAGGACTGGGGCTGGTGTGGAACTCCTTATGCATTATTTCATGTGAAATACTTTCCTATTTTTCCAAGTATCATTCTCCCCAATAACTTAGTATTTTTGTGATGTGTAAAAAATCACAAGGAAAAATAATAACAACTTGCTTACGTCATAGTTGCTCCTGGATCGGCAGTCATCTGGTTGGTCATAAACACAGCCACATTATATTCTGCATCGAGAAAGTCCAGCAGAAGAAGATAGATAAAAAGAGAGAAAATCTGCTCCACTAGTACTTTTGGCATGATTCTTTCTTGGTAATTTTAGTAATAATGGGGAATTCTGTACAAGAAAGGCTCCATAATATTGGGAAACCCAGAAGATACGAATCTAATAACATCAACATTGGTCAAAATCCTGTTAGTGTAGCAATTCTTACTAGAGTAGGCCCATTAAAACAATGGTGATTTAGTGAGTTAAATCCATCAGTTTAATTGATTCAAATCAGTTTACTCTAACTAGGATTTACAATTTGAAGGAACTGGCAGAGGCAGAGAGTTGTATTTACACAGCAGACACTACCCCTAATTAGGTGCTAATATGCAGTTTCCACCTCTTGTGCTAAAATTCATTTTTCCTGAAGTGACCTAGTAAGATGGTGTTCTAGCACTGACTTGAAAGCTTTAAAAACAAAACAAAACAAAACAACATTTATTTGCAGGCAACAGGCACTCAGTTCCCAGTTGAGACAAACTGACGCCCCTACGGGCACCTCTTTGTCTTCAGATCAGGTGCTTATAGTGGCAGAAAGTGGGCAAAAACAAGGTCAACTCAATCAGAGTACAGTATATTTAAACCATCCCTGCTGGCTGAATAACAACAAAAAGATTCCCCACTAAAAAGAGACCATTCCACAACAGCTTCTCCATGTTGAGCTTCATGTTGTGTAGTCACTGTGTGGTAAGTCAAATTCATCTGTGCCTAATCCATTGCAAATTGTGGAGTAAATGGCCAGTGTAGTCAGCTCCTCAATTTGCTATCATGTTTTCTCACTTGATTTACTTCTAATATGTTGACTAATTTAGGCATTTTTATCACACCCTCTCTCTAAATAGTTCAGAAAAATATCCATGGTAGCAATATTTGTTTATTTAACAATTCATATGCCACCATTTAAAACAAAAGATTTCCCCAGATAGCATACAATTAATGTAAAAAAATTATTTAAAACCAGTATTTAAGTCAGGTTTTTGAAAGCTAAAAACAGCAACATAAAAATATTCCTCATCCATATAAAATAGGAAATAATAAAAAGTTAAAATGCAGCCCTTCATTTTAAGGAAAAATAATTTGAAATAAAAATATCTTTAAGGGCCATTTAAAAGGTAATAGAGAATTATTTATATATCTCCCTTTGGAGAGAATTTAAGAGATACTGGGACCCCAGCTGAAAAAGCCAGACGTTCTAACTGACTTTAATGCCATCATCTCATTTTATTCTCAGACTCCAGTGAGACAGATTAGGTTGAGAGACACTAAATTATGCAAGGATTTATGACTGGATGGGGATCTGCATATAGATTTCACACAGCTAAATGTTTTCTCTGGTTCTTTCAGCAGCATATTTCACAAAAGGGCAGTCGCTTTCAAAAGTGATAAAGGGATACATACAAATGCTTTTGTGTAAATTGCTAGCAGAAATCCAGCATCTGTCCGAAATGTACGTCTTACCTTCTGATATTTTCTGAAGTCTTGACAGCATCTGAGCAAGCTTCTGTTGCCTTTCAGCTAGTTCCCCACGACCACTGAAATCCACACGGAATAGTGCCATAATGGAATCTACTATCTGAAACAGCAGTTGTAAGAAGATAGATGATTACTTTGAAAGCATGCAATGTACAATTAAGTATAACAGATAACTGAAATTACTATAAATGTATACCAGTAATTTGAAAATGCCAGGTTCCTCATGGAATTTGGCAGCAACGTAGTCAAGCAATTCCATCTGATGCTCACCTCACGAGAAGTAATTTTCATGGAAGAATGGAACAAAACAAAAAGGCCATTTGAAATTAACGTAATGATGGAAGAAAGAATAAAAATAGCTTTCTTTCAAAGTAGAATAAAATATTTCAGTGAGCAGTATTGTTTTATACAGTTTTTACACAGTTTTATTAACCACAACAAAAATTATTGTGACACCCTGAAAACTAACAGAACTGCTTTGCTGTGTGCTTTCATGGATATAGTCTACTTCTTCAACCACATGGAGCACAAATCTGGGCCACAGATTTATACTCAATGGCCAAAATCTGATTTATTACACTTGTCAGTGCAATGCCACCTGCCAGTGTCATCAAAGTAATTTTCAGCAGTTAATTGCCATCAACCGAGATATTGGTATAGCCATTTCATATTGTGCACCAGTCATATGATTCAGTCTGATCCCAGCAGGTAAGACAAATAAAGTTTTGGCCAATACAATACTTTGTTTTGTTTTTGATGTAGCTAAAACAGAATAATATGTCTACCTCTCTAGTACATTGGGTACAAGATATTTAAATCCTTAAACTTTCAGAGTCTACTGTTGCTTTTCTAAAGTTTCAGATGAGGTGAAAAATAATTTTTAGTGAAGTAAAATACTTGACAAGTATTATGAAATGTAGACACTGCTTCTACTTGGTAACCAAATTCTCCCTTTTAAATTCTGATATGTGACATCAATAACCATGTAGTTCGAGCTGAAAAATCAAAGCTTTGAATAACAGAAAGAAAGACAGGCAGACATTTGGCTGAAATCCTGTTCATAGAGCCTTCCATAATAAAAAATTGAAATGTGTTAATGAAGAAGAGCTTTACAGACACTATAGGTTGTCAGTAACACAAAGTGCCAGATCAAATCAAGTCTGAATTCACTGTAGAATTGAAAATTATTGAAGCTATTTGGGTATATCAGGAGAAGACAAGACTCACTTGAAAAGACAATCCTGGGAGGAGTAGAAGGCCACAAGAAAAGAGGGAAAAAAACATGAAATTAACATAAAATGGCTTGACCCAGTAAAGGAAGCCATAATCTTTAGTTTGCATGATCTGAGAAGAGCTGTTACTGACAGGACCTTTTGAAGGTCACTAATTAATCGGGTGTCATAGGAAATGACTTGCCATCACCTAACATGAAGAGAAAGGCTACTAGTCCTACCTGTTCCTTGCAATCCATTATTTTTGGAAAAAGTGACACCGGAGGCCAAAAGAGTCAACACAACACAAGGACCTGTGCTTTTTCAGTCATGGCCCCTTCCCTTTGGGATAAATCTCCAACACAGGCTCCTCAGGCATCTTCCTCTCCATTTTAAATAAATTAGTAAAAACGGTATTATTCAAAGCTGCCATTTATGAATTGCCTGCAATGCTTACATTTGTTTTCATTTCTGTAATCTTATTGGTTTTAGCTACAAACAGGGTTTTATCTATTTTATGTATTTATTGTTCGGTATTTGTTGTATTTATAAGTGTTTTCAATGTGTTGTAAGCTGCCCAGAGCATGTGTGCACTATGGAGTAGTATATAAACTGAAGCTGAAAAAAACCCCCAACATATCCATGTTTCTGTAACACAGATTTCTTGTAACTGGTTTTCTCACTGAACTATCAAGATCGTTTTAAATATCAGCCTATCTATGCTCAGCTACTCAAGGTGACTTACCCATGTCTTAATAATGTTTAAATATAGCTGTATGTTGAAGAAAACTACTAAAATTAATCTTTTTACCCTTACAACTGAGTTGAGCCAAAACCATCATACATTGACTTCATTCCAGTTTTTCTTGGGGCAAGTGTCAGTTTCTCTATTACCGCTAAAGCTCACACTTTGTTCAGTATCCGGAGATGCTTCCACTTGAAGGGAGTATGAAGTTGTATTACTTTGTTGGAAAAAAGGCCTGAAAGCTCTTGCAGAATAGAGTAAGCCTTATAGCTTAATCTTAAACTCACCTGGTGAAAACAGTTCCACTGAAATAAAATGACCAGATGAAAAGGAGGTCAGGATTCCTGTATCTTGAACAGATGTGTGGAGTAGGAAATGTCAGCAAGTGTAGCTTGCACTAAAAGCCACTCATGCTGAAAGTTCCTCTTCTAAGCAACTGTCAAAGGTTGTCGAGTCATGTTACACTGGAATTTACATTTAGCTTTTCTTATTACCATTATGACAATGGAAAAAGGAAAGTGTAAAAGTAGAATTGATTTTTGGAAAAAAATTAGTCTTAACGTTCCTAATGAAACTTTAGTGCTGAATTGATGATTATTGAATCTTCAATTACAGAGTATCTTTACTTGTAGTCTTACTAGTATAAGCTCGTGCATAGAGTACATTGTCAAGAACAGCATCTTGGTCTGCATTGAAGTGATCAGCGATGTCGCGAAGACGGTCTGGACGACTAGAAGGTTTTCTAGTTAAGGAATCTCTTCTATAATCCAGATTCTGAGATATAGTAGTTGAGGCCCCATACACAGAAGCAAATATTCCCAACAATGTCTGTCCCTGCCCCCCGCCAAATTTACAGAATTATTTTCTGGTAACTTCCTTTGAAGAATAAAACATGTATTTAACAAAAATTGATTTATGCCTCAAAGCATTCTTCTGGTTAACACAACAAAGCACACTTTTTAATGTTATTACTAATATAAGAAAACTTCCTACACATAGCATTGAAGGCATAACATATTAAAAGAAAGGATACAAAGTGTTTTCTGTATCAATGAAGATAATCTTCCCACCAGTGTAGCCATCTGTTCCTGGAAGTTGAGCTGTCACTATTACACATAATATAAAATTAACGACACCAAAAGGGGCAACTGGTTAACTGTAACTGGCTGTCCTAGGATTAAGTTCTCAAGTCAAGACCCCACTGTATTTAACAAAAATTGATTTATGCTTCAAAGCATTCTTCTGGTTAACACAACAAAGCACACTTTTTAATTTTATTACTAGTATAAGAAAACTTCCTGCACATAGCATTGAAGGCATAACATGTTAAAAGAAAGGATACAAGGTGTTTTCTGTGTCAATGAAGATAATCTTCCCACCAGTGTAGCCATCTGTTCCTGGAAGTTGAGCTGTCACTATTACACATAATATAAAATTAACGACGTCAAAAGAAGCAACTGGTTAACTGTAACTGGCTGTCCTATGTTTAAAATAATAATAATTATTTTTTTATCATTGCATACATACCACAAAGAGTATGAGCAAGCTGAGTTTTGCCTGTTCGGAATTCTAAAGAAAAAATTAAGACAAAGAAAAAAACGTGCTAAGTGTATGAGTAACAAAAATGTTCACTTAAATACTTCTAATAATCAGTACAGTTTTAAAAATTTCTTATTCTCACTCATAAAGCTTATGCTTTGGAAAAATGAATGGTGTATGAAAATAGATAGCAATATGAAGTGTTGCACCCACCAGATCTCAAATAAAGTTCAGCAAATCCCATTCAATTTAATTTGAAATCACTTTCAAGTAAATATTCTGGCGTCTGGACATCATTTATGCTAATATGTGAGTGTTGCTTGTTGGAATTGTGTGAATACTGTGGACATTTTTATTTTAAAATATAAGAAAAAGGAAAGCTACTAAATCAATAAAACTTTATTTGGAACTGCTGCTTGTATTGAAAACACTGTCTTATGCTAGAGATGGTCAATTCCTTTATTCTTGCAGACAAGGTTCTAGATGCCTCAAGTGTACATATTCATGGGGAAGCTTATGCACTCACTGACAAGATGAGACTCTTAGCAATTTCAGTACCTTAAAGGTTTCCACTAGAGCTGGTCAATTCCTTTATGCTTGCAGACAACGTTCTAAATGCCTCAAGAAACCTTATGCACTCACTGACAAGATGGGACTTTTAGCAATTTCAGTACCTTAAAGGTTTCCAGTTGTGGAATGTTTATGTGTAGTTACTTGTACATATACAGTATACTACAGGGTAAAGGAGAGAAACGGAGAGCAAGTGTCAGCTATGTTTTTCTTCCAGTCAAATGTGATGAAGGAAATGTCTGTCAGAAGGTGGTCATTTACTCTTACAAGCATTACCCAGTGTAGTGCAGTGGATAGAGTGACAGACTAGTTCTCAGGAGACTTGGGTTAAAATCTCTACTCAGCTAAAAAGAATCATGGGGCAGGGGAGTGGCACCAGTAAAAACACTCCTTAAATATCTTACTTAAATTGAACACCCTATTAGGGTTACCATAAAGGCTCATCTACACTGGTCATTTTGGAATAGTCTGGTGCAGATTAAATAGGGTCACTTTGGGTATGGTGGAGGTGTGATATACTGTTTGGTGTCATCCTCACATCTAAATTGTATATTAAAGCTCAAGCTCTTTGATCCAGCTCCTTCAATTTTGAATGTTCAATATGGTGAAGTGGCTTAATGAGCTAGCCACTTCAAAATATTGGCAAATTGAACATTTCCTCTGCTCCTCAGTAGAAGGACACAGGAAGGGGGGGGAATTGGACTCTAATTGGCCATTGTTAATGTGCTGTGTCACTTATTAAAAAAAACAAATTCTTTGCCTGTCTGAATAGTAAGTCAAGAAACTGCTCATATCCAAAGAAGGACATGGGAAGGGCGAGGGGAATTGGACTCTAATTGCCCATTGTTAATGTGCTGTATCACTTATTAAAAAAACAAATTCTTTGCCTGTCTGAATAGTAAGTCAAGAAACTGCTCATATCCAAATCATGGATTCAGCTGTGGACCATTTCTCAACCAGTCCTTAAATACAAAACAAAGATTTAAAAAAAATGTAGAAGTGATGCAGTATATCAGCGATGGTCTACCAGAATCTAATTATTTTCCTGGCTTCCCTTGCCCCTCCATTGAGGAGCAGAGGAGGTGTTCAATTTGCTGATATTATGAAGTGTCTCACTTATAAAGCTACTTCACAACATTGGACATTCAAAATGGAAAGAACCTTCACAGCCACAAGGCTTACTTTTGATCTATTCTCAGTGATCATACACACTGGAAATGGACCAAACTAGAACGATCTTACCCATATGGAAAAACAGAAGTCCCTGACAGGTGCTCAGAAAAGTGCACTCTGGAGACTATTTGGTTCACTCCAGTGATTCCATCATGTCCTTGCTGGGAAAAGAAGCAAACCAACCCATTTCTGCAGCAGACCACGGAGCAGAGAGCAGTGCCTGTCTGAATATACCCTAAGCTGGATATGACATGATGGCACATAACATATGAAGGTAAAAAAGGGCAGGGAAAGAAGCAAGGTGAAAAAACCCTTTATCAAAATAGTTAGGAGAGAAGTTCCCAGAAGGTTACCAGCACAGTAATCAAACAGCATGTACAGTTCAGGGTGGGTCTGCCATCAAAACATGTAGTCTGCAAGTTTCCCAAATTAGGCTCTGTGAAGGGCCATCTCCTATATCTATGACACATAGAGAGACCAAGAAGAAATGTGAAAGGAATCCACACTACATATCTAGATATTATTTCACTAACCTCCAAAGGCTTCTGTGATTGCCATGCTTTCAATCCCACCACCTAGGAGTTTACTAGAAGACCAGATGGAAGAAAGAAAAAGCAAGTTAGGCTAAAAATAAAGGCCAAAAAGCCAAGAAGGCAATGTGAAATAAGATGTTTGCTCCAATGGAGGGTGCAATCTGATGGGCACAGAGTTGGTTGGTACAAGCTAAATAGAGCTACTTTTGGTCAAGCAGAAATGCAATATGCCATTTGTTGTGCTCCTCACATCCAAATGGTACATTAGAACAAGAGACCCTACTTGATCCAGCTCTATCAAGTTGTAATTTTTTATATTATGAAGCAGCTTGATAAGAGAACCACTTCAGAATATCGTAAGTTGAACATTTCCTCTGTCTTTGGTGAATGGCAGAGGAAGTGAATTCTTTAGACTTCAGTAGACCACAGGAAATTCCTCCGAGAAAGAGCCTTGACAACCAGAAGGCTCCCTGTTGTCTGTTTCCAGCAAATCACACACCTTGGAAACAAAACAAATCAGAGCAATCCTACCCATATATATATAAGTGGAAGCCCTTGACAGGGTCAGAGAGATGGGGTTAGGAATGCTTAGGAGATTTGGTTTTCTCCAGGGATTATGTTGTGTGATCATTGAAAAAAGGAGCAAATCAACTCTTCCTTGCAGCAGTCCAAATCTGATATGCCCATGTTAAAAGATGTTGTATCTGGTTTTTGCAACATGTAGGGAACAGTATTAGTTGATATTATGTATTCTGGCTTCTCAGAAAAGCTTTTAAATTTTAAAATGTCTTCTCTTATAGACACTGAATATTTCATGATCAGGGACCTTTACTGAATCCAAATATTTAGCTACTCTGAGCGACTGAAGAGAAAAATGTAGTATAGTATACATGTATTAATCTAGAATTTCTCCCCTTCCTTTCTGATTGTTTAAATAGTTTTGTCTGGTCTGACATCTTTAGGAACCATAACACCACTGAAATAAATAGGATTAGGTCTCCCTCATTCTATAATATACCTGTACACTTATTTTTGTATTGATAAAAATTACACAGTGCTTTAAAAGTTATGTGGGTACATTTTGGTCAAATTATTATTTTGCCTAATTAACAACATAATCTCAACTGTTCTATGCTTTATTGGCATAGATCAATCCAAGAAGGCTTAATTGTTAAGAGATACTGAATGCATAAGCAAAATAGAAAGCAATATAGACGTAAAAAAATACAATGAAGGAGTTAAACCTGTTGTCTGTTTACTCACTCAAATTCCTGACTTCCAGTGGAGATATGAAATACCATCTTTCGCTTCTCACTGTATTCAAAAGCGGTTAAAAATCCTGGTTCCTGTAGGGAGCACAAACTATTTGAAAAAATTGTTTTGCACTATTATGACTCACAGGTAGGGTTCCCAGACGTCCGCCAAAAGGAGGACATGCCCTCCTTTTTAGCCTAATGTCCTCCATCCAGCAGGGAAAGCTAAAAACCTTTAAAATGTCTGGCTTTTGTCTATGTGACCTTCCTACTACTCCTCTTTGTCTTACCTGAGAAAAATCAGATGGTTTGGAACTAAGGGGACACCGTAACTAAAAATTATTTTGTAAGGGCAGAAGTGAATCCATCATGGAATCACGTCGTGGTCTTTTTTTTTTACGGGCAGAAGTCCTGTGACCACAGGGTGCCTGTTTCGTTCATCGTCTCCCCGGTTGCTAGGAAGGAGGCTGATACCAGTCGGTCAGGGAAGGAATGGGGAGGGGCAGCAGCGCTCTTTAGAGCTGGGCTTCCTCTTTCAGCGGCAGCCGTCATGAACCAAAGGAATGGTTCTGAAGAGAAGGATGTCTTTCAGAGCTCGGGAACCTGTGGCTTTCCAGATGGTGTTGAAATCCAACACCTGCTATGCCAACATTAAAGTAAATAAATAAAGTTTTTTCCACTAATGCTAATGGGGGAATATAGAGCAACTTCTGGAGTGTCTAAGCAGGGAGATTGTATTTTTAAAGGAATATATTTTTGTGCAAGCTGCCAGCCTAATAATATCAGTTGCTCTATTTTAACTTTAATATAATATAATATATATTTTTTAACATGACTGTTTCTTGGTCGGTTCACTAAGAGACATTTATTGACAGCTATTGTAATAAAATTGTATTGATTGCCGGTTTAATCCGGAACAAATCAAATGAAACATTCAATACGTCCTCCTCTGTCTTCTTTTTTGTCTTTCTATGTCCTCCTTTTAGTATACATGTATCTGGCAACCCTACTCACAGGGAACCACAATGTCCTTTTGGTATCCATTTATCTGGCAACCCTACTCACAGGGAACCACAGTGCGATTTAAAAGATGTAAAGTTCTTTGTTCATTGAATTGTTCATTAGAATTTTTCCCTTAGCAATAATTAAACAGAACTTATATAGCACTCTTAACCAAAACCTTTTTTCACCTGATTTTCCAAGATATCCAGCACAATTCTGTGGGTCTTTATTATGGTGTAAATCACAGAGTGTCCAGTGAGAGCGGGGTTAATAGTTAGATGGCTCTGTACTTTGTGCAATTGCCTGTGTAATAGATTGTGTTGTGTAACGGACTGCAACGGGTTTGCATTGGATATTATCTTTTTAAAAAAATTCTGGAAATGCATAGCCATTAGTGCAACAGACCATGAGCTAGCGCAATGAGAAAATAAGATGCAGATCCCTAAGAGCAATTGTGAATAGTTATACAGATACAAAATAAATATATCTGTTCTCATATCGGGAATGCACCACTGTGCAGAAAGTATTACCAATGACCAGTAGACTTTGCTTACTATAAGCTTGTTGGCAGCCTCCTTTATCTTCTCTACTTTGGCCTCTGAGAGTCCCTTCACGTTGCATAAGGCTTTTCTTGTTGTCATCTGAATCCCTTTGATTGTACAAATTCCTACTGATTTCAGTTTTTTTATATCAGCCACATTCTGTGAAGGAAGTAAATATTATTTATGTTCTTTATGCCAATGAAATGTTTTATGTCAATCCACGAAAAATCTTGTTAAAGATTTCTGATGCCAGAATAGTATGTTTTGCATGTGTGCTTACTTGCTTATCCAATGGGCAAAAACTGCCTGTTAAAATGTATGTTCTCCACTTGACTCACAAACAAACATCAGCCACATTCTGTGAAGGAAGTAAATATTATTTATGTTCTTTATGCCAATGAAATGTTTTATGTCAATCCGCGAAAAATCTTGTTCCTTAGTGGAATGAGGATTTATTAAAGATTTCTGATGCCAGAATAGTATGTTTTGCATGTGTGCTCACTTGCTTATCCAATGGGCAAAAACTGCCTGTTAAAATGTATGTTCTCCACTTGACTCACAAACAAACATTCCAATATGTAAAATACCATTAAAATATAATGCAGGCAATCAAATGCAACATATTTTGCTCTTCTGGAAAGGAGAAAAATAAAGCCTAGATTATAGAATAAAATATAACTCACAGATACTAGAGCCCCATTTTTGTTACTGTTTAAAAGATCCAGAATTAATGAAATGTCTTTACCTGGTACCAAAATGACTACAAAATAGGCCTAGGCAAGCTTTTCTGGGAAGGTCTTGCCCAGCCAGCATGCCACTGTGTTCATGAGTGGTCACTATCCTCCTTTACTTGCTACAAGGAGGGACATGGTATTGATTTATCTGGACTTTAACATTAATTCTAAGTACTGTATATTTAATTGTTTGCTGTGGTGTCATTGTAGCTAGATCTTGCCCAGAATAAAAGGCTAGGCTTTTAAAAAAAGATAAATTAATTTGTTAAAGTTAGATAAATTAATGAGATAAACATAGGGACTAATACTTGAATCCATTTATTAGTTAGGTTCCAAGTTCTGTTTATGATGGTAAATCCCAAACAGAATCTTTGTAGAAGAAATCAAAGCAAAAGCAAAGTGTGCTGCTTATATACCGCCCCATAGCGCTTCAAGCACTCTCTGGGTGGTTTACAATTTAATTATGCAGGCTACACATTGCCCCCCCCCCAGCGAGCTGGGTACTCATTTTACCGACCTCGGAAGGATAGAAGGCTGAGTCAACCTTGAGCCGGCTACCTGGGATTTGAACCCCAGGTCGTGAGCACAGTTTTAGCTGCAGTACAGTGATTTAACCACTGCGCCACAGAGTGGTTTAGGACAATACTGAGATGCAGTTCTTCCATACTTTGGTTATAGCAAGATGACCTTGGGAAAAGTACTGTAATTTTTTTTGGACTATATGACCATGCTGACTGCAGAATTCTGGGAGTAGGGTTCTGATAAATATGAAAATGTATTTATTTGTTATTATTTCTCTGTCAAACTAATGAAGGCAGATTGTTCACAGACACATACAGTGGAAGATCTGAATGCTATCTTTTTTTTAAAAAAAATACAGGCTGTATTCATGTTACTAGGGTACCTCAGTTCAACAATTGCGCTTTAAAATTACTCCCATTTTATTTGCACTGTTTGAGAGAGGGGGTTGTTTTAGAATCTTCTATAGTATAATATGAAGTGAATGTCCTAGAGTAGTTCTTGGCTCCAGAAAGAGTTGCAATGTATAAGAATAATGTACAATCTTCCATACAGAGTTTGTCTACACAGTAGACAATTTTAGAATATTAGAATATTAACTTCTTAACAGGTTTTTTAAAAATATAATATGGTAGAAAAGGAAGAGAAACACTCCTTCTATCACTTATGGTGATTATTTGTTGTTTCAGCCTTTGTGGAGGGAAGAGTTCTCCCCAATTAAGCTGCTTAAGCCAGTGTTTGGAAGAATCTCTCTCATCCCCTCTCCTGCAGGTGATGAGCAGATTGCATCTGAGATGACAGCTTGCAAAAGACTTTGGAATGTAAGCTGCCTACCCCAGTCTTGGATAGGTAAATGTACATCAAGATAAATATCAGAATATGCTTACGATTCCATGCTTCTGTAATAGATCAATGTCCTGGAAAAAGGATTCCTAAGGGGGTACAAAAACAAAACCAGAATTCCTGTTATTTTGAAATACATGTGCCTATACAGTATCTCAACATCTAATGTACTATCTTTCAACTAACCTTTTCAAAGTTAGAACAATATGTGTACTATTATCCATGCAAATATGTGTACAGATCTAGTCCACACAAGTAAGAGCCAATAATTTGTGGGCTCTGCATTCACTTTCATATAATATTCTCAAGGAATACAACCACAACTTTGCATGCATACCTCATCATCTTGGTATCCTGATTCTTCATGTACAACTTGATCTTCCATAGATTTCATTGTGACAGAAGTGATAATGAGATTTCAATCAGTACTGCAGAAAGCAATGAATTAATGTTAAATCAGGTGAGTTAATAAAAATACGCAACTGTGTTATATTTCTGAAGTGTGTACCTTACTCCATGTGCAGTTTCAATTCCTATAAATTGGCTAAAAAGAAGGTAAGATCGTAGAAATAAATTATTTCTGTGTGACGGCATTTCCATAAGAGAAAATGAAATAGCATTTGTTGCTTGAATTAGTGCTTTTTGGAATTAGCTTTGATGTACATCTGTTCCATTTAGATAATAGGGGAAGAAAGATATGAATATGTCCTTTCAAAAACATTTCCAAAAGTTACTTTAATCATACCAGCACTGCAGGTAAATTTCATTGTTCTATTTGGATAACAGGGGAAGAAAGATATAAATATGTCAACATTTCCAAAAGTTACTCTAATCATACCAGCACTGCAGGTAAATTTCACATTGTTTCAGTTCACAGTATGTGTTAAAATTTATGATTCATAAAAACAAACTTTTAGTGACCATTGTGATAAAATTCCTTGGGTGCTTCTCACTGCCAGCTTTTGCAACCTAAATAATTGTGCCTAATGTTAAAAATGAAATGATTGTGCCACCATATATAGATTTTACAATCTACAGAATAAATACATGGACTGAGTATATATTCTTCATGTTAAAACTGTTAAATACTTTCAGCTGCAAGAAAATAGTATTTGCCACCCAATCGGACAATTTAAATTAAACAAAATGCTATTGAAATAACAAATTACATCACAGCAGTCAAAAGAAGATCCATTGATTAGTACTCATTGACTAAAATCCAGTTGTAGCTGGTGTAACATAAAGTTACTTCTGTGGAAGATTGCAGGGTGTTATGCCCAGGGAGGCCAAAATGCACAATTTCATTGCATAATTCACAGACTGACTAGTTATAATATTTGCTTTGTGAATATGACTTCCACATTAGTATCACTACTGCTTGAGCAGCTTGGAATTATGGAAATATAGATCCCCCCCCAAGTTACATAATAATGTCTTCAAAAATTACAGATGAGAAACAAGAGAAAAAGATAAAGGATATCTTTTAACTCATTGTGTTTTATAAAATCTTGCCTACTTATTTCTGAACATGTGATCTTCAGAAACATGTAGGTGAGCCCTCATTGTACTACTGTATATGGCTTACATATTGTTTCCTCACTGTCCCCACCTTTCAATATTTTTAAAAAATACAGCTATGTCCACTCATGTGTTGGCACAGCAGGCTTACAAATCAAAAAGGACAATTATAGACATACTGTTTATCCCTCAGGTTCTTATGCTACAAAGCCAAATTAGAGTTATGTCTAAGAAGCAGATTCAGATAACGTCCCCACCTCTCATTCAATCTTTTTAAGGATATGTAAGCTGTGATTGCTGACCAGGACTCATCATCAGTGTGTTATGAGAACCTTCGCATACACCGGCTGAAATACAGTAGTAAATCACAAATAGAGTAGGCCCATTGAATCAGTGAGGATTTAGTGAGTCAGCTCTCGCATAAGTGCCACCAAAGCCAGCCAGTGGCTCCTCTACAGCCCCAGCCTCCATTCCATGTAGTGAATTCCTTGAACTGGATTTTTACCTCAGTGGTATTGATGAGGCAATATCCTTCGCTGCAACTCAGAGAAGCAGGCCACTTTCAGGGTTGCAGGAGAGGCTGGTTAACACGCAAAGCTGTTTGCATCAACAGAGGAATGGCCAAAAGCTCAGGAGAAATGGCCAAGGGTCTGTTGCTGTTGCCTCCCCTCAGCCCCTGCCCTCTGAGGCAACTGCTTAACTTTGTTACGCCTCATAGTGAGGCCAACTCTGCATAGGCCCCAACCATCACCTGTTGACAGAGCCATCTTGAAAAATACACCCATTTGATCGGTGTGTAAATCCCTGTATAGACATAATTTCAATGTTCTGGTAGTGGGGAGATCACCCCCATCATGGCTTTCTCCTGTCAAATGTCTATACTGAGCTTCCCTGGTGGATATCAGAGGCGAACCTTCATGTCTCCCAGTGTGTTTGCTTGCTCTCAATTTTCACTCATTCGAAAAATATGTTACACACCATGAGGCCCCCATCAAAAGATCACCTTGAAGGAACCACCTCAGAGAATGAAGAAGACCCTACTAATTGCTCCCCATGCAGGATGATTGCCCCCTCTCCCATGTTTTTTTTCCTCAAGATATGTTTCTTGTATGTAGTATTTTGCTTTCTGACCTTTCAATGCTTTCATGGGAATAGAAATATATATATATTTGTGCTTAAGCTGTTGCCTCGAGTTGGCTGGTGTGGGGGGAAGGGCAACCAGTATCAATGGCTTTTCCCACCACAAAAATACAGAAAAAGAAGGGTTTAAATTTTTTAAAGTAGGAGTGAAAGCTCAGGCTAAGTCTCGGATATACTGTATCTTGCTTTCCTTGCTTCTGACTTTCCACCTTGAGATGTATTTCCTTCCCTGAGATGCCCTGAAAAGGAGACTAAAACCCAGAGACTTCAGATCAAATCTTGGGACTTGGAAACCCCAAGAGCAAAGTATAAGAAAGAGATTATGCATTACTATGTACAATGTGACAGGATTAGATTTTATAAAGAATCTAGTGTAATTTACTTCATGAAAAACATCCTTGTGACCTCACACATCCTACTAGAACAGAGCAGGAAAAATAAGGATATATTACGTAGATTTGCTGCTAGTTATTACCTACTTCTTTTGAGTCACAAAGTGCTCACGTATAATGTTTGCTCCATAAATCAGACACATACCTTCAGCCTCCCCTTGTCCATATGCAAGTCTGACTTGGGTTTAAACAAACATTTAGTGTTCTAATCCTGGAAATTGTGTTCACATTGCAATGCTGAGGGCAAAATTATACCTGTTGCAGGCAGAGCTGAGGAGACAAAGAACCCAAACGGACATCCAAAGCAAGACAAATGTATTTGGGATAGTGGGACAATCTCCAAGGGCAGATCGAATCCCACCTGCTTTTTGTACACGAACAGGAAGACTGTAGGGGTGAGGCTCTGGGGAAAGACTAGCATCTATGGGGTGGTATATGATAGAACAGGGATATAGGCTACCAATGCTTACACTTGGGCTTTTTACAAGAGGACACCGCAAAATGTATTTTAAAAGCTTCTGAAAGGCTCCTAGAAAGCCTGAGAGAGTTAAAATGTTTGACTGGTGCGGAAAAGAAGAAGTAGGAGCCAGGCAAGTCTCTCTGGAGAAGGCATTCTTATGTTTTAAGGAGTCCAAAATCCAGGCATGGAGGTTCTAGCCCTCTTTAGTAACTGTTAATTCAGAGGTATACAGCTCTTAAAGACTAGAGATGGTATATAATTGTGAATTGTAGCAGACACTAGAGTTATCCTCCAAGCTATCTAGATGGCAGGAAGGACACAGTGCTGGCAGTTCATGAACAAGAATCTCATGAATGTGAAAATGGATAGTAGCAAGTAGAAAATAGCATGGCCTGTCCCACTTTGTTTAAGCCCCTCAGCCTGAGATTTGCCTTGTTTTCCTTGACAAACCCAAGAAAGAAACAAAAAATCTTGATGCAGAAGCTCAGCAAACCTATCCTGCTTCATGTAGCCTGCCTTCATTAACAATCAGCAATCACTGTCATTCTTCAGTTCTACAATAGGAGGCACAATTGGAAGTCCCTAGTGCAATGGTTCCCAACCGCAGGTCCCCAGATGTTCTCGGACTAAAATTCCCAGAAGTCTTCACCACTAGCTGTGCTGGCCAGGACTTCTGGGAGTTCTAGTCCAAGAACATCTGGGGACTCAAGGTTGGGAAGCACTGCTAGTTATTCAGTCATAGGGAATAGAAGAAAGCAGTATGAATAAAAATCCCAAATTCTCTAATTTGGGGGTCCTGATTGGTTCACAACTGTGCTAAATGAAGTGTGCTAGAGTGACACTGAAACTTAATCAGAGTCAGGAATAGCTGCAGGAATTATAGTGAGAATTGATAAAGCAATCCATCTCTTAAGTGACAAGGACCAAAAGATGGTAGTATTTTATTCTATATGTATTTGGAACAGGAAAACCAAACAGAGCTCTCAATAAACAAAAAGTGTGCAAGTAAGACTATACTTCCTTTTTAAAAGGCAGAGAGGTTCATGCATCAGTTTGACACACTATGTGACCATTGAGAGGCTAGACTATATTCATATTTGGGGACTTTTGTCAACTCATACCATAACAGCAAACAAATTCACTTGACTTCTACCTATATCCTTCTTCGAAGAATAAGGTCAACTCTTCATACTACATTTGGTATGGATAGCAGTAAAAAAAAGCCCACCTATAATCAAGTCTGAAGGATATGTGCATGCACATGAGTGAAATCTGGGCTCGTGTCTGTCCTGCCAAACACTTGGAAAGAGGTAACAAAAATGAAACTGGTGTCTTTATGTGAAATTATTTACGTGCATGCACATGAGTGAAATCTGGGCTTGTATCTGTCCTGCCAAACACTTGGAAAGGAAGAGGTAACAAAAAAGAAACTGGTGTCTTTATGTGAAATTATTTATTTTCTAAAGTGATATATTACTGTTCTTTAAAAAATTTTCCCACATGGCAAAAGACAAAAAACAACAAAAAAATAGAAAACATTTGTAGGTTTAAACTGCCAGTAAAGTCACAGTTGGTACAAAGAACTGCACCACTGAAACCCATCTCTGTCAACATGATTTGATTGCAAACAATTATGATTTGTAAATGGGAAGGGTTTTTTTTTGTAAAAAAGCAATCCATAAACTTTGAATTTCAAAGCCTGCAGAGATTTACTTCGTGGATATAAGAAAAGAGCATGTCAATGGTTTGTGTAAAAGCAGCAAATTGTTAAATGTAACCTTGGAGATTACATATGTGTTAGCAGATTAATAGACTGAACTTGAATTTCAGAGCTCAACAGTGTTTGCCAATCTAATTTGTAGATGAAAATTATGTTTCTTTTTACTTTATACTTCTCTTATTAAGATATATACAGTATTATGCACTGATATCTCAAGAGTGTTTGGATAAACCAGCAAAACAATTTTGCAAAAAACCCACCAAAAACAAAAACATATTCAGCCTTGTACCATTACTGTACATGATGCATCATGTGTATCTTCAAGACTACATCACAATACAAATAAGCTGTCTTTACGAAAAATGAAAAGATAAAATACATCATTTCCTGAAGTATTGGCAATATGAGGCACTGAAAATGTGGAAACTTACATTTTCAGATTTACATTTTTTAAATCAAGGAACACTAGTTTGTCACTAATGTCTCAAAATGTCATCAACAAATTTTCTTTTATACCAAATAAGGGAAACTGCACATCATACAATGTTATTCTCAGAGCATTAGCTTATGTTGTCCCTTGTATACAACCGTTTCCAATCAATCATGTATTCATATGTACAAATCAAAATTGATTTCCTTTAAATATTATATAAAACAGACTAGAATTATATTTATAAGAGGTGACAATAAATACACCTAGTTTGTACTTCTCATTCAATTCAAAAAGAGACATAAACCACCAATCAGAAATTAATTAAGGCAGCAGAAATGAGACTATTGGGCTTGAAATCTTGTCGGAACTATTCGGGACATCTGGTACAGTAGTAAGCAGCTCTTTCTGCTTTTGGCCCTGTCTTCTCTTCATCTCTTCTTGCATCTCTTGTCTAGAGAGTATGATGAAAAGAGAAAAAGAGAAATTAATTATCCTTGAAATTCACTTGGATAGCTGAAGAAAAGAAAGTCCCTTTACTTCAGTAGCATATAGTTAATAAGGACTCCAGGATGTGATTAAATTGGGAAAGTCTGCTTTGGTCTTGAGCCAAAGATCTCTTTAAGTTCAAAATTAGTCTGGACTCAAAACTGCATTCCAGCAGTTTACAAGCCCTTTCCTTATGCCAAGAGAATACCTTAGATACCGGTATATTGAAAAAGTGGAAGACATTTTATAGTGCCCCAATGGCAAAAGAGAGATTTGTTGGTACAATTGTTTTTTTTTTAAATGACAAGTGACTGAAACTCAGAGACAATGTTAGAAATTCCTTAGGTGAAAATACATGTAAAATACACACCTTGTAGGTCTAGTTCTATGTGAATTCTGCAACAGAATGTGAAGCTGGGGAATTGAAATGTCCTGTCCTAGTGTATGAGGGTTAACTGTGATACATTGCATTATAAAATAATGCAAACATAAATAAGAATATTTGTTTGTTTGTTTATATCCTGCCCATCTGGTCAATTGACCACTCTGGGCGGCTAACAACACTTAAAAATAAAACAATTTGAATATAACATCAATATACAATGTCAGTAATCAATTGTTCAAAATGGAAAGAAAAAAAGAGAATAAAATGAAATAATGGCTGGAGGGAAGGTCTGTTTAAACAGCCAAGTTTTCAATTGGCTTTTGAAAATAGTAGGAATACAAGAAATACTAGATTATCTGGTTAGGATAATGAGCTGTTATGAGAGTTTACATGTAAGTAATCAAACAAGAAACAAACATGCATATTCTATATAAGAAAGTTATTGTGGAAAGCTATGTCTGTCTCTTATGTTGCTAGAATAAAGCTTGTGAGTGCAATGACAAATTTCTTATGTCTTATGTTCAACAAGCTTTTAAAGTACCTGAAAAGTTCCTGGTTATCCTTCCACTGTTGGTCAAAATTCCTCATTTCTCTCTGGTGTTTCTGAAAAGTCTTTGTGAAGGCTTTGTGCCTCTTGTGAAGGATATGAAAACTATCCTTGACCACCTCTGCATATGTCTGGGCAGAATCCGTAGTTTTAGGTATAAAGGAAAAAACCATTTAATTTTTCTATTCAAAAATACTATGAAGAATAAGTTCTAGCACTTTAAAAATTTTTTAAAAGATATATTCCCTCATTATCTAGAAGTATGCATGGCAAAGTGATAGAAAATTGTTTCTAGGTTTACATTACACCATGTCTGAAATCCTGTTGTGTAACTTTATGCTGCAGAATGAGAATGATATCATAGCTGCAGCCATTTGGCAGGGGGGGGGGAACCTGGGCCAGTGTTTGGGAAGCACAGTATGGAAGTGGCGCAATTTAAAGCTGTAAAAATTGCTGCTGGGAGCAGCATACTTGTATTTTCAAGTTGGATTGACTGACATAGTAAATGAAGGTCAGTGGCTTTCTAGCCTCAGTTTGCCTCTGTATATCATAAGGATATGGTATTGGCTTGCAGATCTCTCTTCTGTGTAAAAAGACATCACATCCTGCTTTTGGTACAGCCTGCCGTTTCTGGAGGAAGTGCTGAATTAGTGGGCTGTGTCCACTAATATTCAAGTGGTGCCAGGCAAAGTCAGGACCAGAACAGGCTGGGTGTGACTAGGAGAGAAATGAAAACAGCTGTCATTTACATCAGACTCAGAGTAAGAGGTTATAGCAGTTACAAGTGCAATAGCTTTCATTCTGTGTGAATGACCATGCTACAAATGTGGTAATAGCGTACTTCTAAGTTGCTACCATCCCAGCAGTGCAATCTCTTTCCTGTGGAGGTCCTTTTGGTACCAGCATTGACCTCATTTTATTGCCAAGTTGAAAGCTGGATCTTCATTGAAACTTTGAGAACTAGGGATCATGATCTGATCAGCATGTGGAGGCCTGTTACAATGTACGCGGCTTTAAGGTATTTTACATTGCTTTGAATTATTTTAACTTTTTCATTGTTTTACTGTCTGTAACCCACCATTAGGTCTTTTAATGAGCAGGATATAATATACAGTATTAATAAACAATTAACTAAATAAAACATGATGCTGACATCTTATTTGGTTCGATGGTTTAACCACAGTGTCTATGCACCAGAATTGTATATGCTATAAGTTATAGTAAAGTTCACAATGTTGTAGCAAATGTACTAAAATAATTGACTAATCTGTATCTGATACTAATTGTTGGTAGAGCTAACCAGAGAGAGAACCAGGATAGACTGAGACCGGGGCAGAGTACAGAGTATGGTGATATACTAAAGCAGGGTGGGTGAAGTGCAGCTGACAAGATGCATGCAACCTTGCAAGGCTCAACCGTAGCCCTCAGTTTTTCCATTTAAAAAAATCTTCTGGGGGCAAGGGGGAAATTTCACCAAGGGGGCTTTATCAAAATGCAAGTGAGTTCTAAGATTCAGCAATCTGTGCCTATTCTAAGCCACCAGAAATTGCCCAATTCTGTACTAAATTAGCACGCACTGAGGAGTCTTTAAAAACCTCAGGATTCTGAAGCAGATAATTCACTCCCTAAAATGTATGAATTTTGAATGAGAATATTCTCTAAATGTGTGAACATTTTGCTAATATTTGATGTTCAACAGTAACATTTGACATCCACATTTGCAATAGCATGTAACAACAAAAAGCATGTACTGTTCAACATGTGTTAATATCAACCAACTACTCTACTGCATTTGACAACAAGTAGAATTTAGAATATGTTATGCTAAGGAATATCTTTATTTAACCAATCAGGATACATGAGAAAGCCAAAGCAGTAAATTTCAAAATTGGTGTTTTTTTTAAAGTTTGAAACCTTTATGTTATAAGCAATATATTCATATCTTATCCAGATCCACTAGCAGTTATGCTATATTAAATGTCCCCCTCTATAAAAATTATATCACCTCTCGAGGAAGCAAAGCAATCTTTAGCTTCTTTTTTGGTGAACTTTGGTGTTTATTCCATGAATCATTTCCCTCATCTTTTTGAGCCTTTCCTCCATCTTCCTTAAGCACCACAGGCCGAGAATGAAAATGGGGGTGCTTTTCTGAAGGAAAAGAACAGCAGCTTAATATCTGTTAACCAGCTGTCCTATAAGATGTCTTTTAATTTAACAAAAATAGTATATTTATTAACCATCTCAGTAAATGAGAAACATATATATGAACTAAGGACTAGAACTTCCCGAAATCTTGGCCAGCACAGCAGTGATGTGTGTGGGGGGGGTTAATCCAAGAACATCTGGGGAGCCAAGGTTGAGAACAACTGCTCTATGGGATCCTGAAGAAATTTTGGATTATCCTTCAGTTGAACACACAATTATGGCTCTCTGGCCCCTAATCAGCTGTATAAGGATGCTCCCTACTCTGTATAACAATATCGAACAATAAACTCAAACCATTTTTTTATCATTGTGTAGAGATTGATGTAAAAATGTGTCAAAACACATTCGTGAAGAGAGCCTGCCACATGAATGCTGCTACAGCAGCTTGAAACAAAGTGTGCTGGAGGACTACAGATTTAATGGAAAACCTTGAGTCCTTTTTCAAAAAACCCTTCAAACATGGGGCCTTTTTTGGAAAGCTGCTGTTGAAGTTTCTTCTCAGAAATAGTGTTCTTTAACTTGCTCACAGCTTTTCTTGAAGATGGGCCTTTCTAAATCACATGAAGAGAAATGAAGAAAAAATTATACCACATCCTATTTGAATATCTGACCTTGGACGTGTGAGTACAAAATGACCTTGGAGGTATGCGTTACTATGCGATGCAGAAATTCCCACATATTCTGGAAATATATAGTTAAAAGCGGAGAAGAGAAATCTTATGTATGGTGTATTGTAGAACGCACTGGAGATTTATTAGTATTTTTATTTGTCTCTCATCACCATGGGCAGTAATTATTATTTACATGGCTTAATGATATAAAATCCAACATCTAGAATTCAGACAATATCTTTTCACTCACTGAATCTTAGACAGAAAAGAATATTAGCAGCCTCACCCTATAATAATGAATGTAAATTCAATAATCTTTTACCTTTTGAGGTCGTGAGGGGGGCTTCCTCACAGTAGTAGGTAACTTGTAGCTACCAAAGGTAACATCAGAGTCTGTGTAAGTTAAAGAGAGATCTGTAAACGTCTTTATCTCTTTGTCAGATTGATTCTGGTGAATTCTCTTTGTGGGTAGGACACAGCACACTCCTTTAATTTCCTATACAGATGCTGATTATTGGGATTTTTTTCACAACTCTGATGAAACAATAGGATTCTTGTGTTGAAAAGCAATGTTCTGTCACAAGTTAACACATCACAACAAGCTTTGTTCTGTATAAACATGATCATTATTAAAACATTTATGTAAAGCTCTAGCATTTTTATTTATTTTATTTGTTTATTTATTTGTCTTACTTATAGGTTGCCTTTCTCCCAATAAGGGGATTCATTTTTTGTGTTAAAACCAGGCAAACTGCCCAGACTGTAAATATTCTTTTCTCTTTGACTGTTTTAAAGAATTGTACTTTGTGAAAACACAATCAAGAAAATTAATATGGGATACTGTTGATTTCCCTCATTGGTCCATAGCACCTGGCAATGTACCTTGGCACTAGGCTCAAGTCTTCTTCTCTCCTGCTTGAGGAACCAGGATAGTAAAAACAAGGACTGAACCTGGATCTCTTTCTACATGCAAAACATATGGGCTATGGGCTATCCAATTCCAACTTTATTTCATTTGATTTATTAGCATCACTGGCATGTACATATATTTAGCATATAATTTGAGTTTTATTGATGACTTTTCTTTCCTTACAGCTCAATATTCTCCAAACAGAATGTCTCAAAGACAGAACACTTCATTTAAAACACTGTAGTAGATAACTGCTTTCTCTAAACCTGCTGAAATAAATGATCACTTTCGGCAAGATGCTTACCATTGCCTAATTGTCCCTTTCCTGACAGCAAATCTTCTCTCCTGGAGCGCTCTGGTTCCAGTTGTGAGTAATCCCACTTGTCATAACTCCCTGGTGCATGCAGTGTGCCTATATTAGAAGATGGGGTGGAAGATACTTGATACTGAGAAACAAAATAATCAGCTTAGTCTTGATTTACTGAACAGTGTTGTATAAAATTTGGGTTTATATATGGAAAACTAAAATACAGGCTGAGAAGAGCAAAATACCAATGGATGGACTAGAATTATGAAACCATTTAGAGAAATAAACTAATGTAATGCCCAGCTTAATGAAAAACCATGCAGATTCTAAAACTAGCCTGAGTGTAAGATTGTCTAGTAAAGGCATCATCTACCTTTGTCTTTAGATTGTGTACAAGAACCACATGTCCCCCCCCCCTTTTTTTGTTAAACTAATTAAAAATGAATAAAGGTACAACTCTTTGTAGGCAGTATTTTGACCTGTTTTTACTAAGTACAATGTTTTACTTGATTAAGTGTTATATTACTATAGATATAGCTGCTTTCTTCTCAGAAGAACTTAGAGCAAACGCACACAATGTGTGACCCTCCAAATATTATAGGACTATAGTTCCCAGCAGGTATGGCAAACATAGCAGTGGTAAGGAACAATAGCAGCTGCCATTCTACAGCATCTGGAGGGCCACAGTTGATCCTAGCGTTCTGTACAAACTGCAGCCTCATTTCCTTCATTCCCTACAACTGCTTAGAGCAAATATCCTTTCCTTTTAGCGCTGTCATGTGAAAGATGGTGCAAGATTATATTATGCATCTCCCGAGGGTAGACTGAAAACCTCAGAAAGACACATTTTTTATGAAACCAGGTAATAGTGATAATGTTTAGGATTGTAAAAAAAAAATTGTAGCACAGTGTTCAGTGTACAAAGTATGAATCACTACCAGTGTCTATATAGTTCATTCCTTAAGAAAGGAGAACAACATATCTCACCTCCCAGCCACTCAGAGAATACATCACAGAGGTGGGCCTTAAATTCACTTGTATTGAACCAAGATCTCGGGAAACAGTAGCAGAAACAGGTGTAGACAACTTGACTCAGCAGTGATGGGAAAAACTAGAGACTCAAGAAGAAGTGCAAAAAAACAGAATTTAACTAGAATTATTTCAGCAGCTGCATTTTAATTATTCAAAGATTCAATCCAGTAGTTTCTCAATCTGTGTTCCGGGAATGCCAGGCTTTCTTAAAGGGTTTTCAGATGTTTTTTTAGTGAGAATATGTGTATTGAATGAGGTCCCAGGAAGGTCTCTTGTTCTGCATTGCCAACCTGCCTCAGGACAAAGAATATTCTGCTCCAGAAAAGTTCCTCAGGGGGCATTATAAATGGCTATCAGCTGGGACCAATGGCAGCTGCACTTGTATTGATTGATTGATTGATTGATTGATTGATTGATTGATTGATTGATTGATTGATTGATATACTGCCCATCTAGCAAATTGCTACTCTGGGTGGCATGCAACAAAAAAAACACATAAATTATAAAATTGAACTAAAACACCAAATTATCCCAAAAATAAATACACAAACCAAGATAGCTCTTTTTCCAGCACACATTATGCACACATCATGGACAAGAGGGGTGTGATTTAAGAATCATGCAACAAAAAAAGAAAGATAAATTATAAAACTGAACTAAAACATTAAATTATCCCAAAAATAAATACACAAATCAAGATAGCTCTTTTTCCAACAGACATTATGCACACCTCATGGACAAGAGGGGTGTGATTTAAGAATAGGATCAGAAATTAACCAAGGCAATAGCACAATTCCAGCCTTTAACAAAAAAAAATACGGTACATAGAAACATATTTTTTCAGCATTTATGAATTCTCAACTATCATATTAAGTTTAAGGTCATATGTTTCTTTTATCGTGCTGTCTGCTAGAATGTCTGCACCTGAAGCTTGATACCTGATACTTACCTCCTCCTTTTTAGAATACTGTACATGTATACTCACTGTCAAGATGAGGTCCTGGTTAGAAACTTTGTGGCAGCCCAGTAGAATCCGGGAATAATTTTCTGCAATGCGCTCAAATAAATGACCCTGAATCTCTCGATTTGGCTGGTAGGAAATAAATACATTTGAAGGGTTATTGAAAAGGCATTTGTTTATTTAACATGTCATGGCAAAGAGGCTCCAGGAAGGTAAGTGGGAATTTATAGGACATCTATGGTAAAAAAAAACATGTATTTACATATGGGCAGCCTTTAAACAGCATTCAAGCAACTGAATCAGCTTTCAGTTGCCAAGATCATTCATTGCAGCTCATTGGAGAGATCAAAGCTCTTCAGTACAGAATGATATGACATGATGGCTTGTTTATTAATTGGTGCAACTGCTGGTGTTGGCCCCATAGGGTCCTAAATTATATAGGACCCGAATAGGGTGACCTGATATCCTTGATAAACATTTTTGGTGCTAAGTAATGTCAGCCTCACGTACTCAAGCATTTAATTCACATCAACAATTCCCTGTGTTTTATAAAAGCAGTTCCATTTTAGTATTTAGATTTTTGATGGTTCCATTGTTATCATTTTCAATACAGTCTTTATAAAAACTGCCTTGAAAGTTTTTGGTGTCTTCCTTTGGTTATTTTGCTGGACTAGCCAAAGCCTCTTTCTCCAGTTATTTATCTCTCCTCAAATTTCTAATCTCTCTTCATGTGTTCCTCCTAGACCTTGTCTCTGAACGATGAACATGCCCAAACTGGCAAAGTATCTATATGTCATCTAGTCTGAGCAAATGGTGCTTACAAATTTCTCCCCCGTTGCCTAACTAATCACCTGTGGTGCAGGGAAAAATAAAGAGCTGGGAGGACCAGATGCAAACTATGCACTTCTGTGTTTAAAAAGCGACATAAGCAGTCCTGCAGGGTCTAACATGTTTTTATAATCTACTAACTCTTTGTTCTTATAATAATGGTTTCATCTGTCAATGCTGAAAAGGTTTTACTGTTATGTTATATCTGAATACAGCATTTATATTTTAAACAGGAAACCTGGCTACAGCAGGACTGACCCATCCAAGAGAAAGGGAGCAAATCTGAATACTAGGAAACTAGAAATAAAAGTTAGAGGAAAAGAGTTCATCAATACCAATAATCCCCTGTTCTTACATGATACAAGTGTAGAAACTGCCACCAAAAACTGTCCAGCAAAATCGCTTGGGTGCACGGAGCACTGAGAAATTTGTGCAGCATCTTCACTGACCAGCTGGTCTGCAAAGAAATCAAACAGCAACATCCTTGTCTATATCTTTTTTAAAAATCAGTGGAAAAAATGGCTTTCTGCACTTCTCATTGTGTCTCCTTCTGTCTGAGAGCCTACCATGTTTTAATCAGAATTGATTAAGTGGCAGAGTCAATAAAATTAAGTTGCCTTAAATGACTGAAGCAAGCAGGCAGAACCTGGAAACAACATCCCAGAACACAGACCCCTTTTAAATATTATGATATCTGTTTAATAAATCATGTTTTGTTAAACTCCACCAGCCTTTGCCTCTTGTGTTAGGCAGGGCCAGTGTGGCCTGAACCCCATCCCAATTTTCCCACTCCTGTATAAGAAACAGAATTAATGGTGTACTTGTACTCTCTCCTTCTCTCTAATATTTCAGTTTAAAACTTCTGCAATTTTCTTGCTTTCTTTATTTGTATCAGAGTGTTGCACAGTTTAAAATTACGGACATATATGAAACCACTAAAGTCCTAGAAAACTGACTTAGTTTCAGACTTAAAGCCACGAAAGGTCTCTCTCCAACAATATTCTCTTTCTTTCATGCTCTGGTTTTCAGTCTGAGATTAAATCACACTTTCCCATTTTGGATGTAACGAGAAGCTGTGGTTTAACAAACCATGGATGTTTTCAGCTGCAGTAACAGAAAACAAGGGGAATTAAAGAAAGAGGGGGCAATGTCAGCCTTCTAAGCAGCACCAAGCTGCTGGGTCCAGTCACCTTTTTACTTAAAAGAGCAAATATATCTAGCCATATGGTGCTGTGAAGAATGCTGAACTAAAAACAAGGGCTGTTAAGGGCATCATTTGCCCAAGAATGCCAGGTACTGATGCCAGCTCTGCCATATATTCTTCTACCAAGTATATGTACAGTAAAAAAAGTAAATTCCACCCAATCGATGCCCTGCTAGTATCTTCTAGATGCTGAATATTTGAAGTATTCAGTATACCTTTCCAACTGATGTTTTACTCTGGGCATGGATCACCTTCTCCAAAATTTCATCTAGGTCCACTCCATTTGGCAATGGCGTCAGTTCTTCCTTACAGTATCCTGGGTACTGATACAATTCCACAAGTTTATCCTTTTCTGTTACACTCTAGAGATGAAACGAAGAGTAATTCATGAGAAATCTTAAAGGTACACAACCAAACTTAATGAGCATCCCAAGTGCAACCTTTTAATGTTCCAGAGTTTCTGGAGAAATTTATTTAGAAAAAATGAGTGTCCCATTCCAGTCTCCTGTAACTGGTGAAATAGATAGGCTTGCTTAGCTCTCCTATTAATCTAAATCTAGGACTGTCCCAGAAGGGAGTTACGGTCATTATCATACATGTCTCCTCTTCACCAGATTTTAAAGAGCTTTTATGTGTGTTACAGCATCTGATACTTAAATATTTCTGATTGTGTCAGGCAATTCTAGCTCCCCAACAGTTGAAGTGATGAGCTGAGGAATACTAAAGCAGGACTCAAATCTGTGCATGATCATCTAGTTGTAGTCACAGGGGGAAGTTGTACACCTAAGGAGATGGACTTGACATCAATAATGACTCCCTAATACAGTATTTGAGAGGCTTCTAGGTTAAATCTGTTTGTTGACTTGAGCAACTATAGGAGCACTTAATGTATGTTAGATATTTTATTGACTCTCACAAGCATTTTTGTTTTTAATCCTAGAGCAGCCACAGGAAATTTTGATTTTAAACGGAGGGGGGAATTCCATTTAATGGTGTGTGTTTGACTCCCCCCCCCCCGCAATGTCCATATAGATGTCATATGACACCTAGAGGATGATCCCTTTCCAGCTGCTATCATGTCAGCTATTAACTATAAAGAATGTCTAGTTATACACAGCCTCAAATAATGCTTTTAGTGTCATGTCTAGTTTGGTCCTTGGCTTCAGGACCCAAAAAGAATCCATTAACACTCTAAATCACAGGGTTTCAGGGACTACAATAACTCAAGTTGTTTGAACTTTGAAAAACACTGCAGGAATCCTAAGTCCTAGCATTGTATAAATGAAATATTGATGACAGAGGCCTGTATAATGGCCTAAAAAGGCCCATCGTCTAATTCCACTTGGCTTCTTTAAAGTCACATCTTACAATAGCACTCACCCTTCCAAACATTTTAGAACTACAATGTTCTGCTTTTTCTTAAATGCTACCCAAAATATGTACAGGAGTAGTTGATTCCTGACTGCTTACACACCTTCATACCTTTTTATGAGCTATCTTGCCATGAGTTGATAAAGTTTCAAATTCTGCAGCATGACTTCCAGATTTCTGCGTCATCTTCTCTGCAATGTAAGAATAAGGATGACCAAACTGAACATCTGAATAGTGTATCTCATTACAGAGAGCAACTGTTACCTGCGAATAAAAGACGTTATAGCCCTAGGTTTGTAGCTGCAGATATTTCATTATATCTTACATGTGTGCATGTTTAGTTCTAATCTGACTTTAGGATGGTCAAATTATAATGTAGATCAAACAGAATCCAAGATTACCCAAGCAGAGATGAGTCATATTTTTTTCTGCTTCATTTGTCTTGATGTTGCATTCCCTCCAGGTCTGAGCCCCACAAATTCACCCAGAGACAAGGTGACCCAGTGTATGGAGTGCTGGACTTTCACAAAAACTCAGTTTCCTGCTCGGCCATGAAGCTCACTGAATGATCTTGCTCAAGCACTTTTCAGCCTCACCTCAGTCTCACAGAGATGTTTGAGAATAAAGTGGGGATTATATATCTATGACATCCTTAGGTCAAGAACACTCACTTATATATGCCATCTATCCCTGGAGGAGGGATAAGAAAAAAAATGTTGTAATATAGTTCTTTAACATGTGTATCCAATCCTTTCTCCAAGCAGCATAGGGCAGAGAACAAGAAAAGGTAGAGTATGAAGTATATTACATTGAAAAACTGAATTATCCAAGGCTACACAGGCAGCTTCATGGCTAAGCATCACTTTGAAGACATGTCTCTTTTGTTCACATTTAACAAGCTAATCACTACACATAGAACATTAAGCCTTAGAAGAGACAAAAAGACGTAGGTATCGGCCCTAGACAACACAATGTATATGTAGCATACACAGCAGTTTATATATGCACACTGACATCATTCTTATTTTGTAAAATAAATTCATGCCAGTGCCTCTAGTATAAATGAAGTACTATAATTAATTAGCAGGGGCGTGGTGGCACTGTGGGTTAAACTGCAGAAGCCTCTGTGCTGCAAGGTCAGAAGACTTGCAGTCATAAAATCAAATCCACGTGACGGAGTGAGCGCCTGTCGCTTGTCCCAGCTCCTGCCAACCTAGCGGTTTGAAAGCATGCAAAAGGCAAGTACATAAATAGGTACTGCCATGGTGGGAAGGTAACGGCGTTCTGTGTCTAGTCACACCGGCCACGTGACCACGGAAGATTGTCTTCTGACAAATGCTAGCTCTATGGGCTGGAAACGGAGATGAGCACCGCCCCCTAGAATCGGACACGACTGGACAAATTGTCAAGGGGATCCTTTACCTTTACTTAATTACAATTCAGTCTTACACACATGAGCTTAGAAACGAGTCCTACTGAAGTAATACAGAACATAGAAGCAGCTGTGTTGATTGTTAAACAATGTTCACAATCCAAAATCCATACTAAGCTAATGCCTTTATGCAGCCATGTTCAATGAATTGTACTGAGTTCATTGGGACCTATATCTTTTAAGACTATGTTGGATGAATGGTACAGAAATATGTCTTCATTCAATCACAATACCAAACTATGGTTTAGCACCAAATTATGATTTAGCATCATAAATAAATCTGCAATTTACAAACCATATGGTTACCAAATCACTATTTGAAACACTTTGGTAACCCCAGTTTGTACTAACTGTGATCTGCTATCCGAATGACAAACTTCAACTATGGCTTTTGCTCTGTCTCAAAAAAAGTAGTGTACCATGCAGGAAGAAATTGCTCCCCCTGAAAGCTACTGAACTAGGAACACAGAAGTGAATGTATGAATTTTCAAATAAGACTGCAGAAAGATAGGAAAAGAAAGCAGCTAAGCAGCTCTAAAGCATGGCTTGCTGTCTAATTTTTGGAAGGGCAAATCACGGTGTGAGTTCTTAAAACATGATTACAAACCATGGCTTGGCATGACATCTGAACTAAACTAACAAAATTTTTAAAAGTCTCAAAACATTATAATCAATGAAAAATCTCTTTTTAAAATAGTTAGAACAATGGTTCAATAAGGAATTATTACACCTACCTTTTGCCCCGGTTGCCTGTCTCCCTTTTCTGGAACTCTTTCGCACTGGAGGTCTTTTCACTCCCACATCCTCAATCACCTTTAGTGGTAAAAATAACAGAAGTTAGATCCAGCACTAACTGCCTAGAAAATACTGTTCCGTACGTGAATCATAGCAAATTGGAAAAGTGAAAGTATATAAAGAGGACTGACAACTGAATAACTATTTTGTAATTCATTTTATGTGGAGGCTGATTCCAAACAACCGCATTTTTCAAGGACCTCACAAAATATTTCTTGCCTTTGAGGCAGCTACATAAGTCCCAATAATTAGACCATAATTTACATATTTAGTAGAAAATAAGCCATACTAAATACTGTACATGGCTGGTATCCTATTGCTAGTCCCATTGACACAAGGTCCAAAATCCTCTTACACAGCTACGCAAACAACATAACTTTTGGAGGCAAATTGCCTCAAGTCAAGAAATCACTGTAGACATTATCAGCTGCATGCCCAGTTGCATTGTTTAAGCAGTGTACCGTATTTTCCTAAAAATAAGACAGAGTTTTATATTAATTTTTGGTCCAAAAACACATTAGGGATTATTTTTAGGGGATGATTTTTTCATGTACAACAATCTACATTTATTCAAATACAGTCCTGTCATCTTCTTTTGGCTGCTGCACAGTGGTGGAGGGTGGGGTTTCACTTGACTGGGGCTTATTTTTGGGGTAGGGTTTATATTACGAGCATCCTGAAAAATCATACTAGGTCTTATTTTCAGGTTAGGTCTTATTTTTGGGGAAACAGGGTATCTTAAGAGAATTTGGGTCTTTGGGATTCACAGCAGTGTTGAGTCACTATTCAGCAATTGTAGCTTACTTCTGAGTAAACATGTACAGAATGGCATTGCATAATTATTTCTCCTTCTTACTTTTTCTAGCACTTCCTTTGTTTCTACCACTGCTCTCTCGTTCCTCTGTTTCCCTCATCTCTTTTAATTTCTTCAGTTCACTGAAACCCACTGTACAGAATATACCATTACAGTAAGTAGTCCAATCCAGGAGATAAATACTTTCTTCTCTAATAATTACTCTGTTTGCTCCAATCCAAGTTAAGCACTTTTAAGGCTCATTGACTTCAGTGGAAATGTTAAAACACAAAAACATCCCACTGAAATCAGTGGGAAATCCAGTGCTTTCCTTTAGTGGGATCACACATCTTATTGGATTTTCTGTACATTTTAATTTATTTGAGCTTTTAAAAAGGGGCTTCTGTGAACTGTGATCAACTGTTTGATAAGTGCAATCAACTCCATTCTCACTTCTTGTTTGAAGAGCAGCTGATAGACCTAAACAGTCATGTCATGCATCCCATTCCAACCACCTGACATATGATTTTGCATTTCAAGTGTTATTGGACATCAGTGTGAGAAGAACATGCAAGTCCAAAACCTTCAGCATTGCATGCATCCCATTCCAACCACCTGACGTATGATTTTGTATTTCAAGTGTTATTGGACATCAGCGCGAGAACATGCAAGTCCAAAACCTTCAGCATTTAGATCTAGCTGGTGCAACAGCTCCACATGATATGTACTGGTCCAACAGAACTATATAAATGACAAGATAGGACTTCCCCTCAACAACAACAAAAAAGCTGATTTTCAGATATTGAAAATTTTAAGAAAGATACTTATTTCACTGGTCCAACAGAACTACATAAAGGACAAGATAGGACTTCCCCTCAACAACAAAAAAGCTGATTTTCAGATATTGAAAATTTTAAGAAAGATACTTGGACAAAGTCAGCATTTTTTTAAAAAAGGAAAAAATTCTTTGCATGAAGTGCTGCAAGACACTTACCACATCACTACTGTCATATCTTTTCAGTCCCAGTTCTAAATGAGTGATCTTTTGATTCACTTTTTGCATGCTTCCAATAACATACACTAACAAAACGAGGTTAAGGAATCTTTTAAAAGCTTTATAGAATTTTAAGAATTGCTTGTTGGTTTTAATTTCTTATCAATAATAACTGGCTGAAATCTAGTAGTAAGACACAACATAGGTCCACTGTATCTGTTGAACTTATGGTAGAGTTGACTTATCAAATCTTCACTGATTCAATGGGCCTATTCTAGTTGTGGCTTACAACTGGATTTCAGCCACTGTATCCCACCAAGTTGATTCCAACATTTGCAGCCCTTTTTAGGTATATAGCACTCAGAGGTGGTTTACCATTCCCTTCTTCTGGGGGCACCCTGGGACTCTGCAACTTGCCCAAGGCTACACAGACTGGATCCTCTCCTGGGAGACACAATGGGGAACTGATCCCATGACCTCTGTAGGTACACATTGAGCTTGAGCTACAGTATCTAGCCAGTCTTAATTTCTTGTTGCCCTGTTTAAATATTGTTTCTTCTTAATATTATATAGGTTTATTGTTAGTATTTATTGGAAGAATCAATAATAAGACTGGCTGGGAATCAGGCTAGTACATAGAACAAAATATTTTGTCATTCCTATATGCTCAAATATTGATGCCACTGAGTTTATATGGCTTATACTGAAAGACAATGTATTCTGGGAACAGTCTCTCTCCAGAACAGCCTGTGTCTTTTAACATACATTATCTGTGAATTCAGTGCTGTCAACAAGTGTATGGGAACAAGGAAGTAATTATTCTATTTTGGGTACTACTGGTGGATCTTCTCTTCATGAGTCTAGAATCTATGAGAGACAGATCAGAGTTTAAAAAGATTCCACGTATAAATTTGTGTTGAGCCAGTAAGTATTTTATCCACAGCACCTAGTGCTTCCTTACAAGATATTTTTACAAATACCGTACACCCTTTGCTTCTTCTCTCTCCTCCTCCATGGAAAGAAGCTTTAAATTTTCCAATATGGTCTAGCAGCTTAAGCAAAGTTACAGCTTAAGTCCTCTGCTTTGGTTCGTTCCCAGTGATCACAAATGCTGACCCAAACCAAAAAAGGACCACTCTTACCCTTAGGGGGGAAAATTTAAATTTAAAAAAGCCATGGCAGGGGCCCACAAAGGACCAAGCAGGCATGGATCAGTGATGGGCTGGTTTGCCATTGTCTGTATGTCATCCAGCCACCAAGAAAATAAGTGAACCAACTGGTCACTAAACTGAATGAAACTTCAGGACAAATTTCTATCTGCTCACACCCTGAGTTACTTAGGGTATCCAATAATTTAATGAGCCATCACTTCTTTAAGGATAGCAAAGCCACTAAATAACTATTGTCTAATAGGAGACACCTTTAAGCAAGTGAATTAGAATTGAAACAGAAATGTTACAGTATATGCGCATACAAGCAATATTTTTATTCATTGTTTAATATAGAAATAAAGGATACAACGTGGTTTATCATCTAATTTGCAATATATAGGGCCAATTTTCTTTTCTTGAGTTGCTGGGGGCAATGTCAGAAATCCTTTTAAAGGGCTTATAAAGGATTCAGTAGTTATGAAGTCCATCTTTCCTCCTGAAATAATAATCAAACCAAAGGCAGAAAAAACATATTTCTATTTAAAAAACAAATTTTCATATAACTCTTTTCACTGTTGATATCCAAATACAATCACTTGGATTATCTTTACCAGTCATAACTGGCTTGAGCTGAATTAAACATAGGTGGTGTTTTGCCACCCCTCATGTAAAAACAGAAGAGGTTGCTAAAGGAAACACACCACTTGCCTCTAATTATACAGCTAAATAACCAAAAGAAAAAGAAAAAAAACTGGCAAGGGGAAATTCTGTGAAGAAAATTTTGGTCATTTAGCCTAATTACAGAATGCAACAGATATAACTTCGGAATTCTGAATGTTGTTTGAATGAATGTCTCAACAGAAATTCCAAGTTTAAACAACAAAATAAGTTAACTATTCTTTTTGCTATTTTTCACGGATATAACAAGACTATCAAAAGTCAAAGGTATTGTTAGAATTTTCTTCATTCTGTTTTCGAGATCTTTTTTTCGAGACCTACATGTGAGCATGCAAGTATGGATTCCCAAGTACTAACTTACAGGTAGTCTTTTATACACAAAACCAAACAAAAGTACAAAGACATGATTCTTTCAAGTAAGCACAGCTCAGGATGTAACTTAAAATGATGCATTCCTTAGTCATCTGACTATTAACCCAGAATGTAATGAACTTTGTCTTTTCTGTTCCCAGGACTAAGAATGTAATGGGCCCCAGAAAACACAGAGACTACATTTATGACAGCACATTTTGCTTTTTCATGCATTGGGCTTACAGGTTTTCAACAAGACATTGGCTATACATTTATACACTATCTATATTTACTGGGTAAAAGCTGAGTATGCTAATGAAGTTAAATAAGAAGGAACTCCTTCTCAGTCATGCCAGTATTGTTTTCTTTCCCCGTTGCTTGAGTAAAGCATATACAGTACTATATAGAACAATGTATCATAAGTAAAAGGATTGTAAAATGTATATTTTTAGTATAATTAAAAAATGACAAAATTAAAGCGATATATTTTGCCATTCTAAAGATATAGTCCTATGCAAACTTTCCTCTAAACAAAGTTGAATGCCCCTACCTAAAGAGACTGCTACTTCTAACAAAATCACAGAATTTTCCAGCTATTCCACCTTCCTTTGCCTAAAAGATTTTCTGTGGTTCCAAAGTGAAACAGAGAATAGATGTAAAAAACAGACTTTTTACAAAGGTAATATGTTAACTGCATCTCATATAAAATTTTCTGTTGTATAATGAAAGCCTTCATCGGAAACATTCTACTGTAATGGCTTATGATGGCACTTGGAACATTTCTGAGTAAAAGCATACTTTCCTCTAATACATAAGTTCTACAAATGCCTAAATTTTAATCAGGCTGCAAGTGCCATTGAACTATGAGAACCTTACTTTTGAGTAAATCAGGATGGAACTTTGCCACACAGCTTCTGTCTTTAAATACACTTTCTTCTCAATAACTTGATTTTACTTCAAGCAAACAGGATGCACACAGTAGCACAGTCTAATCGCAGGCATATATTCAGATGTGAACTGCTTCTTGACAGAGATGGGGAAAGAGACTTGTCTTTTGCATCTGGATGGTTAAATAAGAGTTGAAGAAAGGTAAATTTAATGCTAGAGACCATTAGCAAGTGACTAAATAAAGACATAATGATTATTTGGAGTTTCACATTTAATTTCAATTTACACGTAAAACTAAAAATATAATAACGCCTTCATTTATAAAGAAAAAAACCACATACAGTGCAGTTATTTACATTATGTACTGTTTTAACTCCCCTGTCTCAAAAAGGTCATTGTACAGTCAGGAATCTTTGCGGATACCATAATAGTGTGCTGTCAAGTCAATTCTGATTTAATGGCAACTCTTTTCAGGCTTTTCCAGATAGAGTACTCAAAAGTATTTTCAAAAGTATTTTCAGCATGCATACGTTACTGAAACAATTTTCAGCATGCATACATTACTGAAACAGCGACGTCTACGCTGGCTTGGGCACGTTGTGAGAATGGCTGATGGTCGGATTCCAAAGGATCTCCTATATGGAGAATTAGTGCAGGGAAATCGCCCCAGAGGGAGACCACAGCTGCGATACAAGGATATCTGCAAGCGGGATCTGAAGGCCTTAGGAATAGACCTCAACAGATGGGAAACTCTGACATCTGATCGTTCAGCCTGGACGAAGAGACCCTTGTCCAGCAGGCCCAATTCGAAGAGACCCTTGTCCAGCAGGCCGAGGCAAAGAGGAAGTCACAAAGGAAGCAAAACCAGGGAGCTGGACAGGGGACAGATTGGATTTGTCTTCATTGTGGAAGAGATTGTAACTCTCGAATTGGCCTCCTCAGCCGCACTAGACGCTGTTCCAAGTCCTCCATACAGAGCACACTACCATAGTCTTTCGAGACTGAAGGATGCCTACTGGTTACTCAAAAGTGGTTTAGCATTCTCTTCTTCTGGGGCCACTCTGGGACTTGCCCAAGGCCACACAGGCTGGCTTTTCCAATAGGAGGCACAGTGGGGAATTGAACTCCCACCTCTGGCTCAAACCACTGAGCAGTCCAGCCATACCATGGACCTCCAGAAAGACAAATGCTTGCGTGGACTAAACCAAACCTGACTTCTCCCTACAGGCAAAAATGGCTAAACTGAGGCTATCCTACTTAGCACACTTCATGAGAAGAAGAGATTCATTGGAAAAGACAATAATGCTGGGAAAAGCTGAAGGCAGCAGGAAAGGAGGACCAAATAAATAAGAGATGGATCGACTCCATAAAGGAAGACAGAGCCTTGAGTTTGCAAAAGCTGGGCACGAAAAGCAATGGGGAGACAAGTCGAGGACAGACGCTTCCCTCTTCTCCGCAGCCGTCCAGATATGAGAGGCCTCGATCCATTCTATCTTCGAGAAAAGAAACCGCCTCCTTGCCCCGCTGAGACCAGCTCGAGCGAAGCCTCTCCCGTCCCGACCATAACGCGCCGGCTCTCCCGCCAGACTCCGCTCTCTGGGGCGTCCTCCTGTCACCGCGGCAACCACAAGGCGCAAACCATAAATTTATTGTCTTAAACGCAGCAGAACTTCCATGACGTTACAGGCGAATCTAAGCGAGCACATCAATTTCTTTGTCAGCGAGTTTTTGTGGAATAATTTTACTAGCGTAAGAATAAATTGTACTAAATTCTTTTCTCATCCCCTCTCAATTTTTTAATAATGGTATGGTCCAGTGTTTAGGAAGCTCCTTGGCTCCGCTTCTCCCGCCCCCCCCGGCCGTTGTGGGCAATACCATTACTTCAAGAGACTAAGGCCCCCTATCTCATGACATACACTAAATTGCTCGTTTCTCCCGGGGGAAAGGAGCTTTTATTTATTTTGTGCTTGGTCTGGCTATTTCGTTTCGTTTCAAATGCTTTCTCCTCTGTCGTAGGGTTGAATTGAGTATCCCTCTCTTACAGGTGGTATCGTCTGCCCTGTCCCTTTGCTTGTGCGTCTCTCAGCTACCGCCGGTCGCCAGATCCCAAGCCGTCCGCTGGGGGTGCGCATGCGCAAAGTGACTGGTGCGGCAGTAACGGGGTGCGGAGGTGCGTTGTGAGAAATGGGTTTTCCACTTGTGGTAGGAGATGCTGAAGGACTAGTTGGGTGGCGAATTTAGGAAGGCAGCACTCGCAGTTCCTCATTCTACGCTGCCCTGCTAGCCTCCTCCAACCTCATCCCTTCGAAATGTATTCGACTACAAGACCTATAATGTTATAATTGATGGGAGTTGTAGTCCTGATGTGGAGCTTTCCATGTTGAGAAGGAAGCCCTGTGGTGTTAGCTTGGTCTTCTTCTCCCCCACGTCTTTTAAACGATAGGTTGAAGCTATGAGGGTGTTCTTGCGGTGAAGGATTTTGCATTATGCTAAGGGGATAGTGGGGGCACTTGGAGGTGGAATTTGCAGCTAGAGCTGCTCTTCATATCTTATTGCATGAAAGACAGAAATAAATAGGCACGATTTGGCTATATGTTGAGGAGATTTACTTGTTAATTTTGTCTGTTGTGCGCAAGATAAAAGTGAAGTATCTGTAAGGTTCGAGTGAAACAATTTGTATCCAATGTCTTAAGTTTTGTGCATACGATTTGTATAATTGTGCTAATTGTAAGATCAGTGGGATGTAATGAGGTGCATGAAGAAGTGGATTTTGATCAATGAAAACTCACTTTCAAATTAATTTGTTAATCTTTAAAGTGGTACAGTATTAATGCAAACAGAAGCTTTGTTTGATTGCTTCTTTATATTGTTTTGCTTCTTCTTTGCAGTGAGACTAACAGGTTTGTGGACTGAGAAACCATGCCACTGTTTGGAAACACATTTAGTCCAAAGAAAACCCCACCCAGAAAATCAGCTTCACTTTCTAGTCTACATTCAGTAAGTTTTGAAATCTGAGAAATTGAGGAGTATATTTTGGGCTCATGAAATAATCCCTTAAAAAAAACCCAAATCCCAAGTCGCTAACCAGTGCAGATCTGAAACTGATGGTTTGAGGGACCCATCAAAAAATGACTGCTCAAAAATGCAGAACCAGTTGCAACTATTTGTTGATCTATATGTACCGTATAATGGAGTGTCCTGGGTATCTTGATTCCAGCATTACCTGAATCTTGTGTTCTTATATCAAACCTATATCCACTGATGGAAAAGGCTTCAGGAGTCAACCTCGAGGCAAAATCCGGAGCCGGAGTCATGGAGGCAGTTTGTGTCATTTTGTCAACTCCTGTGACATCAGCTGGAATCAGTTGCATTGGCTATTGCCTCTCCATTGGACTATTTCAGTGACGTGGAGAGGGGGGATTTGCTGCTTGGGTAACAGCCTATCCTCCATATTGTTTTACCCAGGCGTTGTGCCCTAGAGAGGACACTCCAG